AAGCTCAACGACAGGGATTTACCTGGCGAACGTGTCACAGATAATCCCTGTTAGAGCCTAATTCCTGACCCGCCTTCATTGATTCTAAACAAGAACAACAGCCTCCTGCGACAAGTAATCACAGCTAGTCCACCTGACTTGGGGGAATCAGATGAAGAAACCTGAAACACTCCCATTGCTTTCGAACAGAGGGAACAGATACCAGACAGAGGCAATGACTCTCCACCTGACTTATGTGGATCGGATCGGGAGGCGATTCAGCCTATGAATAGCTCTGATTCGGTCCTCAATGAAAGCCTTCCCGGCGAAAAGACTGATGAAAGCCAGGGACCTCGGCCAGTTCCTATACTGGGTGACCGCTCAATCGATCAGGACGTCAACCCCCGAGCATTGTCGCCAGGGCCGTACCCAGAAAAAAATTTCGGGGGGGGTTTTCGGGGACAACGGCGGCCATTTTGTCTTATTTTCGCCTATGAATCATGTGCATCGGTGGCATATAATGGAGAGTTATAGCAAACCGAAGAACCGGTCCCGGTTTGGTACCCGGTAGCCGACCGGTGCCACTGCGCGTGCGCAGAGGTGGAGATTAAAATCGGCTGGCTGCAAGTGCACCGACCAGGGCCGTACCCAGAAAAAAATTTCGGGGGGGGTCAGAACCCCCTAACCCCCCCCCCCCCCCCCCCCTGGTTACGGCCCTGATTGTCGCCTATAATGACTGGGAGCCAGGATGAACCGATGGGAACACCACAGTAGGCGCCTTCTGCGCCAAGCGAGACGTCGAGCCCCGGTTTTCATATGAACCTGCGGAATCGCTCAACTCTCTCTCTCTGCCGGCACGCTTTCGAGATTTCATCTTCACATTATGTCATGGGTCGTGAACTTTTCCACGGTACGAGAAGGTGTAGAAATAAGGAGGATGTGAAGAACGCGCGAGGGGAGAACGCGAGCCTAGGAGCGTATAGCGGGTGGCTGGGACTGTTGCACGGGACCTGTCCGGGTGTTTTAAGTGTGATTAATAAAACGTTATTCACACGCACCCCACTGCCGCACGGTGCGTGAACGCTACGTCGATGCCCAGTGACTTCGCCGTGAAGTGTCTCTGCTATCGCTGCGGCTGAAGTCTGAATTAACGCAGGACTGCTCAATGTATTGCTTTCGTTCGCTTGCACGAGGAAATATCATGAAGCGGAAAACGTACCTGGCCGGAAAAACCCGCGAGACCTGGGTTGGCATTAGCACGTAAAAAAAAAGCAAAAAAAAAAAAAACGCATTGTAGAAATTTACGTTATGGTCGCGAGAAAAAAAAAGGGGGGGGGGGGGGGGGGGGGGGGGCTCTGCGCCCAGACGCAGTTTTCCGTAAGAATATTCTGTGGCACGCGCTTGACAGAAAACTGAATTTTTTCTCGCGCGTTTCGCGTGAATTCAGCAAGCTGTGGGCAGGACGAACAAAGGACAGCGTTCTTATTGGCCAATGACAGAATCTCATTGGCTGCTCCTCGGCCCATGAGATGATCGGGACTCACAATTTCCACATAGGCCACTTCGAAAATTACACCCTCTTACGGTCCATATGAAAATACTGCAAAGCGGCGTGCGCAATACACCATAAAAATGACAACTCTATCGATTGTGTAGTCTCTCGGAAGTGAGTATTATAAGGGATGAAATGATCCTTGACTCTAACCCCCACTCCCAAAATAATATTTATTTCGACCCTCAGCAACGTGCAATTGCTGTGAGTCGAAATAAATAGTGTGTGCTGTTGTGCTACAAATAAAAAAAAAAAAATAATATCCTCGTTGTGCGGAGAGAAACTTTAAGAAAAGTAAAAAAAAGGTCGATACGAAATTATAGCTCGTCTGGCGCACTTCGGTGATTAGGCATATTTTTGTCATGGTCTCCACGAGGAAATTTAATGAGGCGGAAGACTCACATTACCGGGAAAGCCCGCGTGACCTTTTAGGATGTAGCGAGGACAAAAACACCCAAACGAGGAAAAAAAACGCTTTGGGCGTTTCTTTTTTATATGAACGATCTACCACTACGTGTTTCCTCTGGCATTTGTAATTTTTTAGATCGATCTGTGTCATATAATGAGATATATAAGAAAAGTGACAACAAGCAGCTACAAGGTTATCCCAATAGTTTAAGAGGTCTGTCCTAACCACTTACCTAGTACAAGTACATTTCATTTTTTCTGGATTCTTGCTTGATTGATTTGATTCGAACTTTGTTGAGTCCTTTTCATCCCATAAATACCTTTATTTTCATGTCGGCTAGTATTTAGCTAAAAAAAGAAAAAGAAAAATTGTATTTAGTCGCTGTTGTCACCCTGCAATGGCTCCCTGGACTACCTACAAAAACAATGCTAATTTTGATCTTCCTAACTTAAAAAAGAGAAAAGAAAATCCGCTTGTCTTTCTGTAATTCGGCCTAAACTTGAGTAGACATAGAGCTTTTGTGGCCCACTTCAAGGAATCCCTGAGAAAAGCTGACCCAAGTTTGTGCGGGTTCGGAGAAAAGCTCACCAGTCTTTTGACAGACCCGAAGAAAAGCTCACCTCGAATTACATTATTAAGCAAACAGGTCTTGCTCCTTAAACATTGGTGCTACCAATGTTGTATGCGCCTCTTACGCAGGTTGTACACTGTGCAACAGAGCTAGCGCGAAACAATTTTTTTGCATTTTACTTAGAGAAGGTGTTGATGAGCGTCAAACTTTTTCGCGTACGTTTCTGGCCCGAATGAGCTATTCCCGCAGCACTACTAGTTTTAAATTCAACCACTAAAATGTAAGAAAAAAAAAAAAGACCCATCGTTCGTTTATGTTGACTGTGTCACGCACTGTACACACTTCACATCAGCTTACTCTGCTGTCAATAAAATAGAAAAAAAAATTATTTGAAAGAAAAATTTTTTTAAAAATTTTAGTGATATTTATTTTATTGAAATCGGACTAATATCATTGTAGCTAGAAAACATGAATTATTTATCACAATATGCATTTCTAAACATAGAAAGTTGTTTGATACATTCTTCCGACCCGTGAAAACAATGCGGAAAAAATATTACTGCAGCGCAAGCCCGACACGATGTAAAGCTAATGGCATACAAGACTGTCGTGCGATCTAAACTCGAATATTCCAGCAGGATATGGCACCATCACCAATCTTACCTAATTAATAGGCTACGGTCAATAGACCTATTGCTATATTACCCAAGCATCAAGGAGAATGCAGGGATTGGTGTGGTTCCACGCACCACACGTGTTGGACTCAGCAGTAGTAAATTTTCTAAAGCAAAAACCTAAAACAAATTTGCATCTTGCACGCGCGTTCGTCGACGCTTTATTTTGGTTATTTACTTGGAATCTTTTATGCGGGGAAGGCGTGCGCGGATGGCGCGTGGAACACCAATCCCTGTGTAGAGTTTTCCTCTGTGTGCTTTAGTTTTGGGTGTACGTGCAGTTAAAGGGATACTCCAACGAAATTTGAAATATATCCGTCGTGTTCAGAAATAGGTTGAATATGATCCACAATATCCGTAAATGACAATCGCACGTTTCTATTTTGAGCCTGATGGCTGTATTTTACGTTATAAACGGCCCACCCTGACAAACTCTAGGAGAGCAGCCAGCGGAGATCACGGACGCTGCGAGCTATCCCAGCCACTCCCGCTCTGTGGACGTAGCTCGTGATACTCTTTCCGCGCGTCTCTGTGCCCCCTCTCCAAGGTCACGTGACATTCACACGCCCTTGGATAGGCCCCGATGGCTCGTAGCATCCGCTGAAAGCAGCCGAAGCACAGCAGCGATCGGGCCACCGCCAGTAACCCTGAAGCTGTCTTTGTACGATCTTTGAGTGACGGGTTAATCTTCTATAATCTTCAAAAAAGAAAGTCTTGAGGAGAGGGGAGTTTCTCCTTTAGCTCTTCTCTCATTGTGCCTCGGTGGCGAGACAGTACCGTCACCGATCAGTGGTTACCGTCACTGCCTGTCAAGGTTCCTAGACGGGCATTACGAACGAGGCGTTAGCGACATCCACCAGGTGCTCTTTGCTAATCGTATAATTCGTCTTAAAATTCCTTTTCGTATCTTTTTCAACAAGAGATTGGTGTGTCTGATGTCATGATGCTCCATTGAACACGAATAGACCAAGAATCAAGCGCCGGAATTTCGTTGTAGTATCCGTTTAATGTTTAATCTATGCATGGGTTGCACTGACGTCACATCGCATACTTTTGACCACCATGTAAGAAAAGGAGAGGGAAGCTGCTTTTGTAAGAATCTTGAGTGACGGGTTAGTCTTCTATAATCTTCTGGGAGGAGAATACCGACTTCTGTGCAAATCCGGGAGGCACAAAAGAGGGTCCTGATAAGAGGGGAGCTCCTTCTTGCCCTTTTCTCTGGTGGTCATCGGAGCGCTCTTTGAATGACGTCACGCTCAATCCATGTATTTAGTATGTTGTTATTGTCGCTACAAATTCTTGTTTCTCATTCCATGAGAATACCTTCGAGGGTAATGAACTTGAACTTAATAATAATAATAATAATAATAATAATAATAAATAATAATAATAATAAGAAGAAGAAGAAGAAGAGGAAGAAGAATGTTGAACTTTAGCTCAGACATTACGCAGGTTGCTTGCACTGTCCAGATAAATGTAGGCATATGCACGGAACGCTCCCCGTGCAACTGTTTTGGGGCCAATTTATGAGCAAACCCGCAAGTATTTTTTTTTTTTTTTTTAGAACATATTATCTTAAGTGCGCACGTTGGCCACGCAGAATTGAAAACGGGTCAAATAATCAAACTTCTGGCCGCCTTTGAAGCCTTCTCCACCTGCGCGCCTCTCACAGGGACGGATGTTCGCATAGTAGGCAATGGCTAAAGAATTACTGGAGCATAAACGTCTTTCTTTTTTCTAGTTCTTGTTTTCCGTCGACCGCCTCAAACCAGCAGCAGCTGGAGTGTCATCAACACGACGCGAACGCCGCGTCATCTGGTGCTCGGGATTTGTTTCCGCCTGCTGAGTTACTGGCGCTGCAAGCAACAACATTTCAAAGATGGCGTCTAGACTGTGCAGTTTATTGAGGCCCGGGATGGCTTTCTTTGTTATTCTCTGCCTTTGTGGATTCATATGCGTCCAATGTACCGGTAAGTTCGAACAACCAGTAACGATACTTCACCAACACCCAAAGCTCGAAGTCGAGCGAGCGTTCTAGCCCTGCCGACGCGGTCTGTTGATTTCGCAGCGACAGCCTCGACTCTACCCAAGTTTCCGAAGGGGAAAAAACGAAAAAAACCTACCACATGGATTGATTTTTCAAACTTGTAATGACCACCAGAAGCGCGAATACAATCATTAACGAGCCCTTCGAGTCTCCCCGAGCCCGTATCGCCGAGTTTCCATTGTGAATTCATTAGAATGAGACCGGAAAAGCTATTTCCTGTGCCACTGTCATTTCCGTATTGGTGTCACAAGGTTTTCGACGAATTGCTTTATTTCTCGCGTTTATTGCGAAGCCGTTTTGGGTGACAAGGCCGTTGTCCGGCGTCAACCACCCCCCGTGTGTCGACGAGGAATCTACCCAGTCCGAAGGTTGTCTGTTGGGCGGTCGCTGGGGTAACGCGATTCCGTCACCGTTGTAAACCGGACGGCAAATTGAAGCCTCGGATCGTGTGTACGGCGCGCGATGCGGACTTCGAGTTCGCGCTGCTTTTAGCGCTGGACGGACCTCCGCTGCGAAGTTGACGATTGCGTTTGACGATGTTCACGCTGGTGGGTTACCTCACGAGCGCCAGAAAGCTGCCTCGCATAAATACTATCTGCGTCGCAAATGAGAATTACGAAGCTGCGAACTCTTCCTGGCAAGATATACCACCGAGAGGCACGGGCGCTACCGTCTCGCTTTGCCATGTGCTTGGGCGGCACCAGCGCGCGTTCATACTGAAAAATCTGTTCTACCATGTCCGCAATATAGCGGAAGCCACAACCACTAGCCTCTATAAACTTTGCACGGTTCCACTTATCGGGCGCTCAATTAATAATAATAATAAGAGGCACACTTAAAGCGAGCTGCGTTTGCTCGCAAATTTCAATGCCCTGCCAGTTTTAGTAAGGGCTCTGCACTTTTTTTTATTATGGCATTCCTTTTGCTGAAGTGAAAACAGTTGTCAAAAGTCTAGGCTTCAGTGTGTTTTAAAGGCCCTCATTTTGTGAGATAGAGTTTCGAAATTCCTGGCAAGGTGTGTTTCTTTCCTCGTGTAGATTTCGTTTGGTTTACAGGTTTCAAACTACGTTGAGCGTTCTTGTTTCAAACTAGCCTCACCATCCGTATAGGAGAGAGGGTATGTGGCAACACCACGCGTACAGGTGTAGTGCTCCAGCTTTGACAGCTGTTGGCATCAATCTCGAATCAAACAATGGATGTTGTGTAACCCAATCTGTGCAGCACGAACGGCTGGTGTTGTAAAGTTGAATTTTGAAAGAATCCTCATTGTCATCGAGGCCTCACCCTAGTTTCACCCCAACATTCTCAGTTGTGAACAGTTGCTGCGCAGTTTGCTTGTAATCCTGCAATGTTTCTTTGTATAGTCGGGGACAAAAGTTTTCTGACCACAGGAGCAATGGCCGACATGCATTGCGGCGTATGCTGTCAAGACCGGCGCATGCGCGTCTTTCCATACTCAGAAGGGTGGAAGGACGCGCACGCGGCAAATTATCGAGAATCGCAGCACAGCTGCTGGAAACTTAAGAATTGGCATCCCTTCGAGCATGGAAGGATGCGCATGCTCCAAGAACCGGCCTCAACAGCAGGTGCCGCGCCATCAGAGCTCGCAGCAATGTATATCGGGGCCCATTGCTCCCGTGTTCTGTAAACTTTTGTCCCCGACTGTGCCTTCTTTACAAAAAGAAAGAACTAGCATTGAGGTTGGAGTACCGGGTTCAGCAATCTCTGCGCTAAACAATGCAGTATTTGACCTATAGACCGACACGCTGTTTACAAACAAGCGCGCATTTTCCCACACCAGGTGTGGGAGATTCACATGAGGTGAAGCATCTGCGCATGCGCCGTGGCGACAACAGCGCCACCGCAGGAGCGTGACGTCAGAGCCGCGTGTTGATCTATAGTCCATTGTCGTCGTCACCCTTTCACCTTTTGCTTTTATTCAGTTCAATGCACTCATGGTTTTTCACTCCTTCGTGAATGACGGGAAAAAGGAGTAATGTGAATGCCTGCGACTCGGGCTACTTGAGTTTGTTTTTGTCGTATTAAGGAATGGGATAGTGCGACGTGGATAGGAAGCACTATCCCATACTTTAAAGGGGCACTGACAGGGTATTTATGCTTGCCAAGGTTTTTATCTGACATCATACATGAGAGTCCAACTTCCCAGAACAGAATTTGAGGCTCAAAATTCGGTTTCTTTGCACCCGAAAACCGCCGATCGAGAACTGGTCGGTTTGAGTTGCGCTCACTCTCTTTTCCGTGGTCACGGGCCGTTTTCTGAGGTTTGGACACAACCACCAAATTTAATCGAAGTCGTAGGTCATCGAAGGTACGCACACAATATTAAAAATAGAAAAGAAATAGGATACACATTTTTTTGTGGCTTCTAAAAAGCTGCAAATGCGGTGTTTGGGGGGGAAAAAGTACCACGGCCACGTGACTTTCGCCACCTCTCTCCTCTATATTTCTTCTTTCTCCCCCAGTAAAGTTTCGGTTTCAGTTTTGAGCAGTTGCGTTTTTTCACTTTATTAAAAATATATGTGAGTCTGTAGCAAAATATTGATTGGGTAGTCTTCTTACGCCATAATAAATCGCCTGGCAAAAATAAAAAATAAATTTTGGGGGTGTCAGTGTACCTTTAATATGTTCAACCAACTAGCTCGCCAGATGATCTTGATTCTTATTGTCATCCCATCTTGAGGACTCTTTTTGTACGGTTTCTTTTTCATATTGTTACAGAATAATGGTCACTCTTGATGCTTCATATCTAAAGAAAACCTGCTATCTTAGAGAGCGCTTTGACGGCTGAATATGTGCGGTTGGAAGTTCCTAGTCATTGAATCATGATTACAAACAATTGCTGGACTCCAGAACAGGTGTTTCAAGCGTGTGGCCCACGAGCCACCTGGGTTTTTATGCCTTTATTGACTCGTGTCTGGTTAACACCTGGAATGCCTTTGTCTGTTCAATGATCCTATGTCATTGCCTTTTCATTTGTCTTGAGATATGACAGTCATTGCCTCTATTATCTGCTCATTCTGAGCAGCTAATTCCAGCACACATCTTTTTTTCTTCCCAGCGGCTCTCGTCACAGTGTTGGCTTGAAATGTCGCCTTGCTCCATATGGACTCTGTTGCCGAGTGAAATATGAAACAAAACAACAATATATTGATAGCTACAAAACAGCTGGCTTCAGAGTAGATGAGCTGGTAATGATAATTATGGGGCTCACATGGTAGCAATATTTGGGATTGAAAACTAGACGGCCCAGGAGGTGGACAAAACATCAATATAACTTTATGACTTCTGTAAAAAGAACTATTTTGCCAGACCTCATATTTCACAAAATTTCCCAAGTGCCGCTTTTCGGAGTATTTCACTGGAAGAAGCCCTCTTGATAGGGCTGCTAAGCTGCTATATGGATATGAGCATCAATTATTGTGAGTATTGAATTTCAGTTATTCATGCTTAGCAGCAGTTATCAATTCGTGGAATTGGCAAAAGTTGAGTCATTGCAGAACGCAAATTGTTTGCAGTACCCACTTCCTGCCTCGCTTATCGGGATGGAAGTTGGCCATCCTTTTCTCAGCCACACAACCGTGGTTGCCGCTGGGTTAAATAATTGTCACGGGTGTTCCTCTCCCCTATTTTTTTCTTCTTTGACGAAAGAGTTCTGGGAAGCTCTATTTTGCTGTGGCCACATCCCTACCCCTTCTCCTTTCTATTGCCAATTTCACATTCTCCGTGTTTCATATTCCTTCCTATTGCTTTCTTCTTCCCCTGTAAACCCAACCCCCTCCCCCCAAAAAACAAACAAAAAACACTTAAGTGGCAAGAAACATTCAAAATTGGGAGCGATTCTGATTTTTTGGCACATGGACCTGAGATAAAAGCTACTTATTTCCAACTTGACTAAATTTGCTTGAGCTTTGAGGTTGAGCTGCAGCTGTTCTATAGGAATCATGAGGCTTTGAGTCTCCCAAACAGGGTTTGCTTCCAGACTTGCAGGTTCTGCATTTGTTTTACAGCATCCAGGTTTTTCAAAATTTTTACATACATGCTTAGCAATGGGGGTTCCACTTTAGGTTGGATTTGAGGTGTACTCCTAAGCATTTATATTTGACAACCTTTTAAGGGAAATCTGCCAATATTGTATTTGAATTATAACATTTCTAGCTTGCATGTTTCTTTTGTCTAGGTGATCTTCTTTTTATACAACTTCATCTGCCCCTCCTGCACACCCTTCCACTGCTTTATGCAAATGTCTATTGCATTTACATGAGTCAGAAAACTTCATGCGAATTTTGCTGTTTATTTACGAAAAAAGTTGGTTTATCAAGTGCTGAATAATCAGCACATGTGAACAGGGAACTGGAATAATTGTATTTGTACATTCTCTTTTTAATTCTTCCCAGCTGTTGAATATGTTCTTTTTTATTGTGTTTTCCTCGCTTTCACTTGCAATCATTAATGATTGCTTCAGACTAAAATTTAAAAACTCTTGTTCATGTTATTTTTCTTCATATTATTTATAATTAAAACTGCATTAAATTTTGCCTCACCTAAAAACATTAAACTGCCCAAAATCTTTTTTTTTTTTTTGTTAAGTGCTTGAATATTACAAAATAAACTTTGCACAAAAAATAAAAACTGCGCAATATTTACGCTTACAACTTATTCGAGCGATTCCGAAATGCTCTGCTATTTCTGGGTCACCATTTTGAAATAGAAGTTAGAAGGACGTTTTGGAATCAATCATATCTCAGAGTGATTCTTATGACATAGTATATATTCCGCTAAGTAAAATAACACTTATATAAACATTTTTTTTTTATTTGGGATGTTTCTTTAATTGTGTCTGCATTCAAAGCCTAGTGGTAAGACCCAGACTGTGAAGCTCAGCGAGGCTGCTGCTAAATTCAGTGTACATTGTAGGAGCCATAGAACTTTTCTCCCGCTGGAAATAACCCTGGCCCATTCATCCACCTGCGCTTTGCTTTTCTTTGTTGCTATATGTGAGCAGGATGTCACGCCGTCGTAACACGATCCTGCCGCGCAAGTTTGTGCCCATGGCTCCCAGTGGTGTGCTGAACAGAATGCAGACATAGTGAGCTCTTTGGTGGAACTGCAGACATACCTCAGTGTGCCCGTTCCTAAGATGCCGAGCTCACTTAACCTCTTCAGAAAGCTTCGTTAACGAAATTTGAGTAGGATGAGTTTTTCTCCTAAGCAGAAGCTTACAGTTGCCATGCATCTAACAATTTGTTAGACTCATTTTACGAAAAAAACGGCGCTTATGCGTCGTTTCACCTTACGCTGGATTGGCTGGAATGGCTCGTAGCATTCGCTGCAGTTCGTCGTAAGTTGAGGAAGAGTATAGAAACTTGCGAGGGTTCTGTTGCCTCTTTAGGGGGTTCTTACTGTTTGTTTTTTACTGCACTAGTTGAAATAGAAAAAGCAAATGTGTCTTAATTTTTTTTGAGGATGACTACTTTTAGGAGGTATGCAAGGTCTTTTGTGCGTGTTTATGTTGTGAACTTGCGCATTTTGTTGTGTGTGGGTGGGTTGGTCGGAAGCCTTGAGAATGTTGTCTATATGAAGATGCAAAGTGAGCAGAGTTTGAGCCGTTGCCTCGAGTCTTTCTGTTCCCTTCCCTTTCTGGGTTCTGCTCGCTCTCCACCTAGGCTCAGGTGGTTTAAGATAATGGTCAATACACGCTAGCTCGCCCGTGCAATCACCCTCTTTTTGAAGCACGCTTTTGAACGGAACCCCCTCAATCCCAAAATTTTGTCCGGCCGCCTGTCCGTGCATATCCCACTAATATTAGCGTGAAAATTTATGTCCCGTGAGCTTAACCCCGATTCTGCTTCCCCGCTAAGTTTAGCAGGAAAAGAACTTTAGTAGTAAAAATCATCTTCCCCTCTAAATTTGGCAAGCAAATTCATAATAATGCAGTTTTTTTTTTTTTTTTTACTCTCCGAGACGTCCGATTAATGTCTTCTAAACAATTGGTACGACCTCTCCTTAAATACTGCATTTTATGCGTTACGACACTTTTGAGATAAAAGATTTTTTTAAAGCTTAAGACGCGCGTGTTGTTGCGCAGGCGTGCGCTACGACGTGGCGGGCAGCTCGCTAGAAGACGTGTACCACCAGGAGCTGCGGTCGGCGCGGGTGCGGCGCGGTGCGGGTGCCGGTGAGGTGACCAAGAAGCCCGTCCCCGAACTCAAGAAGGCCCTGACCAAGCCGCCCCCGTCCAAAGAGGCCACCCCCCAGAAGGCGGCAGACTCCGCCAACAACAAGCCGACGTCGGCGGAGGCGCCACTGGTGTACGGCAACGCGTCGGCAGTCGACGTCCCGGCCTCTGCACCCAACGTGTCCAGTCACGGCATCAACGTGACGCTGCCCGGGAATGCCTCTGAGACGACGTCGGAAACCCCCGTGTTGCCCACGACGCTCAGCGAGGACGACCTGGAGAGCATCGTGGAGTCTGGCAACGTGACACTGCCTCCCGGCTACGAGAACCGCACGGTGGGTGGATTTGTTTGTGTCGTGCCCTTAAAGAAGCACTATGGTGTATTTCGAGATCCTCTTGTTGTGGTGCAAACTCAGTCTATCCACCCTGAGCACCATAGAAATCCCAAAATTACAACCATGCATGTTTTTGTTTCCTCCTGTTTTAAAAGCGCGACCAAACAGCGCAACCCGCCCTTTTCTGAGATGTCTCGAAAAGGTTGCATACTGTGATGTTTGATCGCATTTTTAAAGGCAGAAAAGGGCATGCGTGATTGTAATTTTGAGTTTCCCAGAATGGTTTGGAGTGCATGCACTTAGTTTGCACCATAAAACGACAATCTCAAGGTCCTCTTTAGTGGTTCTTTAAAGGCCCAACAAAGTATTAATAAGTTTGGGGTGGGAGGTAGTGGGGAAAGCAGAGATCATAAAAGGGAGTGATAGGCTCTTTAGTAGTGCTTTAAAGGCCCAACAAAGTATTAATAAGTTTGGGGTGGGGGGTAGTGGGGGAAGCAGAGATCATAAAAAGGAGTGATAGGCTCTTTAGTGGTTCTTTAAAGGCCCAACAAAGTATTAATAAGTTTGGGGAGAGGGGGTAGTGGGGAAAGCAGAGATCATAAAAAGGAGTGATAGGCTCTTTAGTGGTTTTTTAAAGGCCCAACAAAGTATTAATAAGTTTGGGGAGGGGGAGTAGTAGGGGAAGCAGAGATCATAAAAAGGAGGGATAGGCTCTTTAGTGGTTCTTTAAAGGCCCAACAAAGTAGTAATAAGTTTGGGGAGAGGGGGTAGTGGGGGAAGCAGAGATCATAAAAGGGAGTGATAGGCTCTTTAGTAGTGCTTTAAAGGCCCAACAAAGTATTAATAAGTTTGGGGAGGGGGGTAGTGGGGAAAGCAGAGATCATAAAAAGGAGTGATAGGCTCTTTACTGGTACTTAAAAGGCCCAACAAAGTATTAATAAGTTTGGGGAGAGGGGGTAGTGGGGAAAGCAGAGATCATAAAAAGGAGTGATATGCTCTTTTGGTGGTTCTTTAAAGGCCCAACAAAGTATTAATAAGTTTGGGGAGAGGGGGTAGGGGGGAAGCAGAGGTCATAAAAGGGAGTGATAGGCTCTTTAGTAGTGCTTTAAAGGCCCAACAAAGTATTAATAAGTTTGGGGAGGGGGTAGTGGGGAAAGCAGAGATCATAAAAAGGAGTGATAGGCTCTTTAGTGGTACTTAAAAGGCCCAACAAAGTATTAATAAGTTTGGGGAGAGGGGGTAGTGGGGGAAGCAGAGATCATAAAAGGGAGTGATAGGTTCTTTAGTAGTGCTTTAAAGGCCCAACAAAGTATTAAGTTTGGGGAGGGGGGTAGTGGGGAAAGCAGAGATCATAAAAAGGAGTGATAGGCTCTTTAGTGGTTCTTTAAAGGCCCAACAAAGTATTAATAAGTTTGGGGAGAGGGGGTAGTGGGGAAAGCAGAGATCATAAAAAGGAGCGATAGGCTCTTTAGTGGTTCTTTAAAGGCCCAACAAAGTATTAATAAGTTTGGGGAGAGGGGGTAGTGGGGGAAGCAGAGATCATAAAAGGGAGTGATAGGCTCTTTAGTAGTGTATAAAGGCCCAACAAAGTATTAATAAGTTTGGGGAGGGGGGTAGTGGGGAAAGCAGAGATCATAAAAAGGAGTGATAGGCTCTTTAGTGGTACTTAAAAGGCCCAACAAAGTATTAATAAGTTTGGGGAGAGGGGGTAGTGGGGAAAGCAGAGATCATAAAGAGGAGTGATATGCTCTTTTGGTGGTTCTTTAAAGGCCCAACAAAGTATTAATAAGTTTGGGGAGGGGGTAGTGGGGAAAGCAGAGATCATAAAAGGGAGTGATAGGCTCTTTACTAGTGCTTTAAAGGTCCAACAAAGTATTAATAAGTTTGAGGAGGGGGTAGTGGGGGAGGCAGAGATCATAAAAAGGAGTGATAGGCCAAACTTTTTCCGAATTAAAAATTCAGTGCCAGATCTTCGGACTCTGTGTTTAGTTTTATATTTTGTGTTTTCTGTTTAGTTTTGTGTTCTGTGTTTAGTTTTATTTGAATAGATGAAAAGGGCCAAATAACGCTAATTAAAAAGCAATATTGTTTTGGCACAAACTACCTGTGAGCTGAAAACAGGATTGTTATAATAGTGAGGAGTGCTTTAAAGTACTTCTCAGTCAATGTTGCAACTACCTCATTGCATCACTGGAAAGATTGCATGAAGATCACATTATCCAGAATGCACTGTATCCTCTGTCACTTGCACAGTGGACTGCTTCAATTTCCGATCTATCTTCTCTTCTTGAGCCAGAAAATATTGAAGAGAACCACACTCCCAAAGGCTGACAAACACGCAGTTACCATACCGCTTGCCCCGCACGGCATCCATTTTCATTCCATGGCCCCGTCGCATTCTTGCGTTTGGCATGTGCCGAACTTTGCCGAATCTGAAGTTCGGCAGGTTCAGACCATCACTAACAAAAAGTGAATTTGAGCAAAGCACTCACTATCCACTACTGCTACCAATGTGCCGTCTACCCACTTCCTAGGGTTCTGGAGTCTGCGGATGGAGCCTCAATGACGTCACAGTGTAACGTGGCACTGCGACGTCATCGAAGCCTCAACAGTGATGTCACAGGATGACATCACGGCGTTTCTGACATTGTAACAGTGCACGCATGGACATGCGCGTTTGAAAGCATTGCGACGCCGTGACTTGGCGTCACAATAGCTTGGTTCAATTTACCTGCATGTCCTGCACCGGTGCAGGAGACGCGGGCAAATTGAACGAAGCTATCGTCACATACGAGTACCAACCTTTTCACTGTTGGTCTGTGTCGTTGGAATTACTCTTCGCAGGACCATCACGACTACTACAACACGACGTTCTACTCGGACCCCGCCACGGTCAAGAGCCTCTGGACTGACCTGGACTCGCTTCCCAGTGAGCACGTCATCACGCACGACATGCTTTCTGAGTCGCACAGGCGTGCTGCCGTGAGTACTCTTTAAATTTTGAAAGATTGTGGGATCAAGTCCTACTTTTTTATACGCTCACCTTTTTTTTTTCTTGGTACTTTTGGTTTGTATTGGTTTGTCAATTTGTATTAAAGTGTCGAGCATGCTTATTTTCAACCAGAACTCGAGCATGCTTATTTTCAACCAGAACTAATTAACTGGAGAGTATGTTTGCAGACTCAGATAAGGGAGAAGTGAGTGAACTTTATTTGTAAGGCTGCATCTCTTCTTGGTGCGTTGTCTACAAAGGTGTAGCAGCATATTGAAGAAGTTGTCTTTGTGATGACTTGATTGCTTGGGAAGAGGTGATTGATTGGGTGAGGGGGGCCGTTTCTTCCGGACCAGACGGTGAACTTGACCTTTGACTTCCCCTTCTACGGACACCCCATACGGAATGTCACCGTCGCCACAGGAGGTGAGGCAGACGAGTCAGACACGGTTGCTCTTTTGGAGAGACGATTATGCTCCTATTTGACTGGGAAGTGTTTTGTTGTACAGCTTTGAACATGCTTCATTTGTAATGCATCTACAGGGCTTCCAACGAAAAAACGTTTTAATTGTCAGGTGCAAAGTGATAATAAAATTTAAAAAAAAAAAAAAAAAATTGAGAAATGTGCTAACTTTTGTGCATTTTGTTGAATATTTAAAAAATATATTTTAACAATAACAATGGCATAATCATCGCAACATAGCAAGCTAAAGCCGTTTGAATTTCATAAATTGTGAAGCTTCTTAAGGAAATTCAATTTTTACTTAATTATTGATTGATGCCTGATTTTACACCCATTTTATAAATTCAAACCACTCTCACGCCATAAATAAACAAATATTTTGTCAAAAATATTTTAGGAAAAGTTTAAGGACGTTGGGGTGAAGATCAATAAATTTTCTTTTAAAAATCGAAAATTGTTGAGCGCAACGTAAAGACGATTGAGATGGTTGGTGCCTTTCCGACGTCATTTCGTGTCTACCCTGGTCGCACGCAAGTTCTACGATCGCAGCCGGTGGCTTTGCCAACTTGTTTTCATACACTCTCGTAGAGATCGTTACAACTATGGAAATAGTGCACCGGCTCAGGAAGCATGCTTGCGAGGGAAAATCCGACGTGCACGAAGCAGTTGGCGGTCTTTCATTTTGGGGTCACTGGCACGCTTTCTCCTGAGTGAGAAACTTCTCAAATCCTTCCAATATGCCTCGCTTGTTCTGCAAAGTGGTGGACAGTGTCGAGCAGCCGATGGCGGTGTGTAGAATTCTTTGGCAATGTTGGAACATTGATGCTGCTCCCTGCCAGCGTCGGTGCGTTGGCATCGAAAGCGGCGCTCTGCCAGTTCTGCGCACTGTGACCTCCGTCATCCGTTTACTTTGTTTTCGCAGTTTGCCGTTTGCCCTGGTGGAGAAGGGGGAGGGAACGCGAGGGTCTCCGTGCACCTCTTGCATGCTTTCGGCACCTCGACCTTCGTAATAAGAGTGGTTGGCCGCCGATACGATACACTTAGAATGATCCGGTTAACAATGCCTGCATTTTGGTCGGGACCACGTCAAACTTCAATAAAATGATAATTCGAAAAAGGAGATTTTTTTCAGAACGAGGGAATACTGTACCTTTTAACTCCACGGAGGGGTCCACGTCAAGCTTCTCGGTAACTTCGCTCCAGAGTTTGCTTGGTTCGCTTTACTCTGGGAGCTCGCCAACCTCTGGCTGGACTGGCGTTTTCAGAAGACCCGTCTTCAGAGTAGGAACTCATTGTCAGAAAGTTGGCAAGAAGCCCCACCGGCCAAAGTAATGCAACATGTATGAGATCACGTACGAGAGGAAACCTGGAATGCCTAGACTTGGCCACAGGTGGCCTAGTGGCCTAGTACTTCGTTTCACCTTGAGTCCGGACCCAGTGGACGCTACGAGCTGCCCTAGCCAATCCCGTTCTGTAGACGTAGCCCGTGGTACGCTTTCGGCACGTCGCTGCGCCCCCTCTCCAAGGTTGCGTGACAGTCACATGGCCCTGGATTAGCTCTGATGGCTCGTAGCATCAACTGCGCCAGGACGTAAGATGAAACGAAGTATAGTGCACATTTGCCGCCGACCAGTGTTTGCTGATGATGATAGTTGTCAGTCTTGGGAGCCGCCTAGTGGTAGAAGCAGCCAAGTAGCAGGAGCACACAATCTTTCGTTCATGTTTGAGGAAATAAAATAGTAAAGTTGAGGCATTTACTATGTACAAAAGCGTTTAAATTATGTTCATTGTTCAGAAATATTCAGTATCTTGAAATTAATACTACTACTAAAATATTTTTACAATGACTCTACCAAAAACCAAAAGGGTGTTTTGGAAATGTTCTTAAATCTGGGAATTTCAATAATCTGATGTTTGCAATAACGAGATTCTGCCGTAGATAGTAAAGGAAGCGATTGCAAGTACTTAAGAAGCGCTTCCTCGGGACCTGTGAAAAAGAGATGGTTCACTGTCTTGGCCTCCCCTCGCCACAGGGTTCCTCTTCACGGGATACATGCTGCACGTGTGGCTGGCGGCCACCCAGTTCATCGCCCCGCTCATGGCCAACTTTGAGACCTTCACCAGCAACAGCTCGGCCATCAAGTATGTCGACAACGGTGAGCCTCTCCCTACTTTGGTGGGCTTCTCTCCTAAACATGTGTGTGCATGTTACTACACTAAAAGGGGCTATGCAACAATTCTTTGCACAACCCCTTATAAGAGTTGTCACCATTCCTCGAAATTGCTACTGCTGAAAACTGCATCTCCCCACAGCCTGTAAATTGTAGTGCAGTTTGTTGAAAATTTATTGACAAGATTCTACTGCACTTTGGTTGTGTTTTTTTAACTATTAAATTGTCTGGTATTTTTTTTTTTTTTTACACTTTATGTTTTAACTAGGGAGCGCATTTTTAGACACTCAGCTATTTTGACCGCTGCATGGGGTGCGTGTCTTTAGGCGCATCGCTCTTCCGTTGGTCTCAGAGAGCGCGTCCTTAAACGCTCACTTTTTTTATTGCATGGGAGGAAGCGCCGTCTATCGCCAAACATCAGAAGTAATTTTGCTTTAGAAAGATAGATGGCAGCTCAAAAAAAGGTTGACAAGATTTTCGTGGTACCAAAACATATTGGCAAAATGGGGACAAAGTCTCCATTTTGCCAATATGTTTTTGGTTAGGGCAGTTTCCAGTTTATTGGGTTAAGAGCACACATTTATCTCTTGTGTCCTTATCCCCTTAACGTTGCCTACTACTCTTGATGTTGAATATATGCGTTCTGCACCCATGAGGTAACGGTTTGCTTAAACTGACAAAGGAAAACATCTATAAAAATGTACCACAGTCTAATTGCGGATGTTCCTGTTATGTCTGTGCATTTGGTTGAAGAGAGTTTTGTTTTCGCTTTTTGTCCAGGGACTTCCTTGATAGTGGAATGGCATGAGGTGATGCTGCAAGACAAGCCTGATGGTGAGCTGTGCTGGAGGCATTCCTCCTAGCCTCATTCGCTATTAAACCAGTTGTTGTATCTGCTTTATTTTTCTGGCTGATGGTCTTGTAGTTAACTATGGATTGAGTGGCTTGCCATTGGACCTTGCCATTTATACTGATTCAATGAAAATAAACATAATAATAAAAAAAAAATTTGTATGTTGAAGCTTTAGAATTAGTGCCAAGAACTGTAAGCATAGTACTTCATTGTAGTAGGGTTTTGAATGTATCTGTATTCTTTTCTTTTTAAGGTGGAAACTACACTTTCCAGGCTGTACTGCACAAGAATGGGGACATTGTATTTGTCTACAAAGATGTGAGCTCTTTTTGTGGTTTGACCCCAAAACGTCCGTACAGCTGCTTTTGCTATCAGTGGCACTGGAATTAACACCGGGTTAATTCTGTAATTTCGAAATACAGTGCTTAGGTAACCACCCCGAACTCATTCATTATCAGTTTCTTGATCGTTTGCCCCTCCCTCAAACTGACAGGTGTAGAATTCGAGGCATAGTACACAGATGTACAATCTAGGCACGGCCGAATATTTTTTTCGATCATTCGAGGCTAGAGACGAGGACATTGTTGTTGCTTATTATAATGAATTGGGAAGAGTGTTGTCACCTGTGAACCTTTTGACCTTGAACACTCTTATTCCCATCAACTTATTTGTTCCCTCGTTCTTGCGCACCAATGCAGCTGCCCGTGCCCGTTACGGAAATCCCAGATAAGAGTCACCCCGTCAAAGTGGGCATCTCGGATGCCTACATGTTCGACCGCATGATCTTCTGTGAGTAAGGTTTCATCCACTTTAAACCTTGTATCCATGCATGGTTTTGAATCTCGAGTTTGCGGTGCTTCCGTATTTCTCTCAGTAGTAGGTCAACAGTTATTCTATACTGTGTCTTACCTTGAGATCTACCGCAGTGAGGCCTAAAAGCTTGAGCTGGTAACTTAGGCGGTTGCTGCAGATGTGTCCTTGACCGAACTCGAATGTCGCTCCCGTGGATTTCACAAAATGTTGAGTTGTACAGTTCTCTTTGTGGAGAACCCAGAGTAGTCGGGGAATTTGGAAACACAATAAGGGCAGATAACCTATCAAGAGAGTAAACTTTGGCTCTGCAACTCGTTGGAGCATGCCGCTGCTTGAATGCTGCACAAGCTGGCGTTATTAAAGGTCTCAGGAATATGCGCATACCCACAGATATTGCTGACTGTTTTGGCCCGCTGACCTATTTTTTCCCCTCCGTGCGATGCTCAGTTGTGAAGCGCAAGACCATCTACGAGTATCATCAGGTGAACAAGAAGAGCGACGTCATCAGGAGCAACACAGCGATCTACTTCACCGCTCTGCCGAGTAAGTCGCCTGTAGTCATCCTTAGGGTTGTTGCAGTTGACAGGCTTTCAGACACGTCAGACAGATAGTGAGATCTCTCCCACAGGGAACCATTTAATTTTGTTTAACGGAATAAGCACGATAAATGTTGGGTCAATAATAATGTAGCCATTTCGTTTTACGTCTGTTCGGCATCACATTTACGAACTGCGGCTTCACAGTACCAGCGGAATGCGGCTTCACAGTACCAGCGGAAATTGCATTTACGAACTGTGGCGTTGATGACGCCCCATTGTTTGCGGCCCTTCTTGGGCAGGTTTCAGCAATTGGATCCCTGTGTGCGTTTAAGGAAAGTAGACATGCAGGGGTTGTTTCCAAGGAGCTGGCCCCCACAAGCATAGAAATGCAGCACCATCTCCTTATTTCTAGGACTCGGAAGGAAACGGTGGCTATTTATTATGCCTGTAAAGCCCGTGCACTCAATTGCGTTCACTTACAACGAAGAACTTGTGATCTCTTACAACGAAGATGACGACGATGGAAACTGTTTATTTACGTGAAAAATGGATCCGCTTCAGTTCTCTTGACAAAAGTCATCCGAGCCGGAGGGGTGGAAGGGGAGGGGGAAGAGAGGGGAAATGGAGTGAGTGAAAAGATGGGTGACTAGATATACCCAGTTAGATTGGCCTCTGGCACGTAGGAAAACAGAGTCCAGGATCCGTTTGCGGTGGTTGGGAGGTTTAGTGGGGTTTGGGGTTGTTTCCTCGGCGCAACTTTGAGGTTGGTACTCCGGGGACACGGCACCAAGGTGGAGGTTTTGAATAGGAAGGAATTTTGAGCAGTCTTGTATGAAGTGGGTGCATGTGGCCGGCACTCAACATTGTGCGCACATTTGACTAAAGCCCGTGTCCTGCGGGTAGGTGGGTTTGTGGAATTTAGCTGGCCAAACAGGAGTGATGGCTGGTTGTGTTGGTAACCTGCGAAGGCCGACCCGTTCCCTTCTGGATTACCCGGAGGGGAGGGGCGAGGCTTTCAGGTTTTCCTGTCCAAGCTTTTCTGGTTCTGGAGGAATGGAACCATTAGTGGGGACCGAAGGGTGAACGGGGTGTCGTGAGGGCGTGGTCGCATCAGCCTTCTCGTTCCTCGGAATGTCGGTATGGCCGGGGATTCGTGCGAGTTTAACCTGATTTCCACAGGCCCGTAGGGTCTTACCAAGTGCCTTGACTTCGTGACTGATGCGATTGCAACTGGTCAATCGCTCCCATTACCCGTCGCCTCCTTCGAGTTGATAAAGACGTGGACTCGTTGGCTGCAACGATTTATATTAGGATTTAATGCACCGTGGATGGCCAAGAACTTTGCTGTCTTGGGACTGGGAGTCGGGGGCATCATTTGGCTCTCTGTTTAATCTTCCGTAAGTGAACAAAAAGCAATGGCGCCAACGGAGACGGAGCAACAGCCTCAGACGCATTATTCCTCTGCCATTTCGCGGACCGGATTTATTTGAGCGGCGCAACGAAGCCTTTCGATCGGGCTAATGTTCAGGAGGCCAGTTACTTCCATGCCCCCCCCCAAGTTGTGGTGGTGGTACATTGAATAATGTGTGGACTGCGTTTCCATCTAGCTTTAAAGGGCAACTCCGCTCAATTCCGAAAAATTTAGGCTTCCATGTGATTCACATTTACAAAGTAATACTCAACAACTCTACGTCTTCGGATTCGCGAAATGTGGAATAATATTTGTGTAATCCTAATTTAAACATCAGCAGATACCGAAACCGAAACTTCGGTTGCGTCAGGCAACATTGGTCTCGGGTCGTCACAGTCATGGGCACCTCTCGTCGAACCACGTGGTCTTGTGACGTTTGGGAGGGAGCGAGAAACAGGACACGCGACGCAAGCAGGTCTTCTTTTTTTTTTTTTTTGGACGCGGGCAGGTCGTTTTGCATGGCGTGGACAGTGATGGCCCGGGGGAGAGGGGGAAGGGGAGAAGACGAAAGAGGAGAAGGGGAGCGGAGAAACAGACCGATAAGCGCGCAGGGCAGCGGTGATCACGTGAACGCCCGGTCAGCCAACACCGGGAAGAGAAACTCATGACGTCATCGTTAAATTTCGCTCTGAAAAGTAAAAACAAGCAAAACGTGAGAATGAAGTATGCATGCCTCTGACGTAGTGGTTCAACGTTGGCCGCTCCAACTCCGTGGCATTGACTGCGCTGATGATTGCGCCTCGCGCCGCACGCTAGAGTTGGCAGATTTCGGCGACTTGGCTCGCTTGAAGGTTCGCTGGCCAGTTTATTAAATGTATAGACGGAATTAGATTGTAATATTTGACATGGGGTCTTCCTATATGATACTGAAGAGGGCTACATAGTTTTCTAAATATCAAAAATGAAGCGGAGTTGCCCTTTAAGCGAACGGAGCCGGCTCTGAGCCGCACCTTTCCCGACTGACAGCGAACGCTAGGATTTTGATGCTTTTCCGTCTTTCGAGTGGCAACCCATTAGCGAAAAGTTGAAATCGGCTTGCTACATTATGCTCGAAACCCCGGCGGTTCGCGATTTTCACAAACGTTGTTGTAATGTCAAGCACGAGAGAAAGCACGGGCACGCTGGCACCATCTATGAGATGACCCTGAAGCTACTTTTTATTGGAGCAGAGGTTTTGCGGTATTTGCAGGATGAAATGTATATAACACTTTTACATACATTTTGTGCAAAACTTTTGACATCCAATGTCAAAAATTTTGTAAGCTAAAAAAAAATAAATAATGATACATTAAAAAGAAAATGTAGAAATGCACAGAAATGCTTAGCGTTTTACTTGATGCAACAATGTGTTCTTCCACCATAAGAGGTTTTACGACAGACGTTGGTAAGCAGTTGCAAGTGTGTGGACCGGCCTTTAGTAACATTATGCATGTGGCGAGATTGAAGAAGTTAAACTGACCTTCGCTGTCTGCTTGTGGTTTCAGCATGCCTGTCGCTGAAGACATGCGCCGAGTGTCGCACGGCCAAGCTGGGCTTCAGCTGCTCGTGGTGCGACGCCGTCCAGCGTTGCTCGAGCGGCATTGACAGGCACCGCCAGAGCTGGCTCGAGAACCAGTGTGACCTCGAGGTGAAGCCCTCCTCTGTCTCTCGAAAGGAGAAGAGTTTGGACGCTCGCACTCCGGCATTGTCGACGGCCCTGACGTGCCGCTCATTTTGTTTTCTTTGGCAATCTTTGTCGCAGGACAAGAAGGACGCTTCCATGTGCTCCTCGTCTGCTGTTTCTCCCATGCCTCCGAAGCCAGCACCCACTGCCAACGGTGAGCGCGCTCATTTAGGGCACTCGGTTATGGTCATCGAAAGTGAAGCCGCGCATTCAAACCTGCTTTGTATCGAGGCCTCGATTATTCCCCAAGGCCGGGTGCTTAGGCAGTAAGAATACGTTCAAAAGTCGGGCACATGTTGGCACGAGGCGGCGGAACATTTCTTAGACCGCTGAGCAAAAGTTAATGTGTGGTCCGCTAGCCAGCCGCAGCCCCTGATTCCAGCTATGCGTATAAGGTTCGAAATCATTTTTATAACAACAGAGGAAGCAGGGTCCTTTGTTGACCCATCTTTTTGACACATCTCTGTCAAAAAGCAGTCCAGCTGGATGTACGTAAGGGAAAGGGGGGGCATGCCTGCCAGGGAGCCGTGAGCCATACTTGGACCTGCAAAAACCGTAGGATGGACATTCCCGATATATACTGCAAACGACCTTATTTTTTGCGGGCTCAATATTTTGCGAATTCGGCGAAGTTGAATTTACAAGAATATTTTGCATGCACGAAACTTCGTGAAACAAGGTGGTATGTTACAAATTTGTTACCATAGGGAAATAAATTTTGTGCATCTATTTTTCGCAATGTTATAAGAGTCGCAAAATTTGCAAAAATAGGGTCCTTGCGTGAATTAAGTCATTTACAGCAATGCCCGATCCCTTCCAGCATGCGTTAGCCGCATCCCATCTTGCTTCGGCTGCATTTACACACTCTGTTATTCAAGGTAGGAAGCTTGCGCCAGAGACGGGCCAACTGAAGGTTTTCTCTGCCATTCTTATCCCATCAGTAAATATAGCTACTCCCCTTCTGTCATCATGTGCACAGTACTTTGTACTGAGCATGGCGTGGGAAAACTGTTGTCAATCTCTGTAAAATCTTCTAATGAAACATGCTCATTGGCTGAGTCAGCCTAATCTGGATGAATCCCACGTCTGTTTGAGAAGCGAATTACACTCTAAACAGATTCACTTAACTTTTCGTAGTAGTACTTAGCCCAACTTGTCTTCGCGTCAAAAAAAAGTTTTGTGCATTCTTCATACGTTGCGCGAAGTAGTGCTTACAAGATTTGATTGTCGGAGGAAGAAGCGATGCTCTTGGTGTTTGAAACGTGTATGTGTTGGTAAAATAACGTACCATATTTAATCGCATAATGAACAAACTTTTTTTCCCGAAAAATTGACCCATATTTGGGCGGGGCCGTTCATTAAATTTTTGCATTTGCACACTTTGCGCAAATGTCATTTTAGGTGCCAATATGACATGACAGGGTACTGTGGCACATCTGCACTGACGGAGGCGTGCCCACGGCTGATCGTGGGTGCACCACAGTAATCGTGCTCCATAAATTGCTAAGGCCCGCTTCAGACGGGGCAACTTTTCCAGCAATTTTGAGGTTGCTGGCAGGTTGTTCCCTAGCTTTCCCTAGATCAACACGAATTGCTGAGATTGGGTCCGGCTCGAAACGGACGAGCAACTCGAACAACTCGGAGCCTTCTGAGCCGGCAGCAGCCAATCAGGGACACAATATTTTCACGTGACTCCCCGTGCCGGTGATGATGACAGCTGAAGACTTGATTCTCGTTTGAAATTGAATGTTTTCGGAAATAAGCCTTTTCAGAAAGATGAGTTAGTATTCTCAATGCCAGTCAAAGATATAAAAACATGTTTTTAGCGTGTAGCTGTGCGTCTGAATAGTGCAAGAAAATTCAAAGTAACCGATGATGATGGCAAGTCGTCGCAATTCGGTTGCTGCGTGTGAACGCGGGCGGCCCGTGTTGCTGGTGTTGCGACGTCAAGTTGCTGGGTGAAATTGCCTCGTCTGAAGCGGGCCTAACCTTTTTTAGGGCGCTTTTGGCGTGCCTTTTGCCGAAGAAAAAGCGCTTTACGAAGCTGACTCAGTAGAAAGAGCACCGTGACCGTTCTTAGGCCTAGCCACTTTCACTTACTGACCGAGAGATCAGAGACGACGGCGTGTTTGTTGACATCAATGCATCCGATAGGCGAAGAATGTTTGGGGCTGGGCAATTCCTCGACTCAAGCTTCTTCAAGTGTGCGAGCCACTCGGTTTCACGGTTGATCACTTCCGCAGCTACGCACTTGCGGACATTATATGAGCAGCTTGGCTTGGCTTGACTTGGCCTGACCGCTTGGCGGCAAAAGATAATTGACTTGGTGGCTAGCTAAATTGGATGCAATTTGAGACTCACGGAGCCGAAAATTGGAAGTGCGTTCATTACGCGAAGGGGGAAAAAAAGTCCAAATATTAGTACCCCCTTTGGGGGATCCGTTTATTATGCGTGCGCATTCATTATGTGAGTAAATACGGTGAATCTAATCTAAAATGCACCTACATATATCTTATTTGTCTAGATAAAGGGGGAAATTAGTGGTGCTTCACGAGGAGTGGCGCTTTTTTTGCCACTATGCTTGAGGAGAAAATGAGTATAGAGGCCATTAACTGGCAATGCAGCATGCCCGTACTGATTCCAATTTATTTTCAGTTTAATTTTATTCCCTAGATGGGGAGTTCTCAAACTTTTCTAGCTCGAGTGGCAGCTGAGGAACACCTCCCAGTCTCAGCATTGATGAAATGAAACAGCAGAGAAGCGTACGGACCATGTACACAATCTTGAACATACTAGGGAGTACTTGGCTCATAGCTATGCTTCAATGGGTTTGCTGAAGTGGTGCCTAAAATGAAAAAATACATACCTGGCGACAGGGACATTTGAGGAAATTTGGGAGCCCGGGGAAACCAGGAGTGCACTTTGAGAACCCCCAAGTCCGTAGGAACCCGGTTTGGGAACCTACGAGATTTTAGCTGGCCCAATCACCTGAAATGGAAGCTGAAGGACTTTCCAAGTAAACTGAATATGGATCGAACTTCCGAAGCTTATTGTCCCGTGATTTTCGTTACCTCACTTGAATTGGGCCAAAGTAAACGTAAACTGCCTTTATTGTGGAAAAATGTGCGGGAATTGCCGCAGAGAATGCGGCGAGCCCTATCGCCAGTCGTTATCTGTCCAGTGCATCGTGGCATCATCGTCGGCATCTCTGAGCCAGCTGGGCAGCAAGCGAGGGTTGTTTGACCATGCCGACGATGTAATTTTCGCCGATTTTACTCTCTCCTCTCGTGCTCTCCCGCGCTCGGCCGCAGCAGCCGTCGGGGCTGCGGCCAAATTTTAATTGGCAATCGCGTCGTTCCCGTTATTAAAATTAAAAATGAACTTTCTCTCCGTTTTTCCGAGTTAAAAATGTTTTTCGGCTTCCTTTTACCAAAGATATAGCTGCGCGTGTCAGTGTTGACAGCTCTTGCGCTACGGAGATACGAGAATGGTGTGCCTGTGCAGTGCCGAGCACCAGCGGGAAGCCCATGGGCCCGTCGACTGCCCCATCCTTCCCCACCTCCAAGCCGCGTGGCAACGTGGTGGAAGTGGTCACTTCGTCCGCCAGCGACACTGCCGCTGCCCCCGCTGCGCACAGTGCCTCCGGTGAGCCTCGTCCGTTTGCTCCGGGAAAACTCTCCTTAGTTTAGCGGAGAAAGAAAACCTCCCAGGAGAGCACGTCTTGCCGAGAGATGTCTTTCACTGAAACATTTGGATAGCTTTTTTTAGAGAAACTATCGTGTCTGGAACGCCGTGCTGACCGGTGCGTTTACTACGTCCTCGTTTTCGGTCCTTCAATTTCTGTTGCAACGCTGCGATGACAGAGACACTCGCGTTTGCTCACGATTTTTGCCGTAACTTTTGCGAACAATTGTCGGGATCGCGACATCCGATGGGCCTACGCTCCGACCATTGCGACGTAATTTGTCGCCACCTAAGGACCACTTTCGACGCATGTGGTCAGACGCACGACGCACCAGTCGGAGATGCGTTTCAGGCAGTGTAGTGAAATGTAAACCACAGATTACCGAGGCTTCCAAGAGGTTCCTTTTGGGGTCCTTCTTTCTACCGGTTTTGATGGCCTTCGTGATTCATTTGCACATCCTGAACCAATGGCTTTTTACAAAATAAAAAAGGGAAAAAAGCTCTTACTGCGTAACTACTATACAGGGTGCTTTTGTTTAAGCCTTTAAGCACTAGTCATTCGTCATACAAAAGGCACATTGTTCGCTGCAGATGTAGTGACAGAATTATCTGCGGATACGCTTCGGGCGTGTTTGAGGTACATTTGTCTAGCACCTGTGTGCTTGGAACACGCCTGCAGACAGTTTTCGTAGGACCAATCTGACCGTAATACGAGGAAGGCACCAGGCAGTGTCCGCAGACTGTACAATGTGTTAGCGGTGTGACTGCAGCTTAAGGGGTTTCAACAAGACCGGTGTTCGTGAACGCGTAAGCCAGGAGCATGTCAACGAGGTTCTACCGTAAAAAAGAAAAGGTAGCGTTGCACCGCCGCTACGTTTCCTTTGTAACGTGGTTACGGCAGCATCTGTGGAGTGACTGACGCGTGTCTCTTGGGGTTGCGTCTGCCAATCCCAGAGGGAGACAAGACTGCGGCGAGCGCCGTGGGCTCTGGCACGGTGGTGGCCATCATCATGATCCTGCTGCTGGTGGTGGCCGTGGGGATGTGGCTGCTGTATGCCTACCGCAATCCACAGACCCCTGCCGGACAGTTCCTCATCAAGGTGGGTTACCGAGCGCCGCTGTCCATGGTTGGCACAGGGGTGATGTTCGCATTGTGTAATGCTTGCTTAGTGACAGCGGCTGTTGCCTTCTGCCGTTTGGTTGCATAGAGACTCTTCCGTGGCAAATGCCACCAGGCAGCACTCCAGTCTTTGATGTCCTGGGGAACTTCTGGTTCATAAAGAGAATGAACAAAGCTTACCTTGGCGCCACTCCTTGAAATGTCGATGAAACGTTTAAACACCAATTCTGCAGGTGAACGCCGAAGGAACGAAGAAGCGGGAGATCTGTTAAAATTTTTAAATTATTCTTTTGAACCAACTTGCCTCCTCCAAGACGTTAAATAGTACATCCAAATGCCCTCGTTAAGTCTCCAACTTTGTTGTTCGTGTTGCATTTGTGCTTTCTAATGCTGGTGACATAAGCAAGCTCGACGGGCTTGCAAAAACAGACCGGACGTTACTTGGGAAGCAAGTGGCAGTTTATGTTGCAAACACCAAAAGGGTTTAGAGGTTTTTTCGTTGCTCTTTATGTTGCAAACACCAAAAGGGTCTAGAGGTTTGTTTGTCGCTCTTTCTTGTGCCATTTTACCGATCAGGGTGACAAAGAGCATGTCAGTAAAGAACTGTGAGCAACTTGCAGCACTGATCCTCTGGTACTTCCAGTCTCAGTGACATCCTTTACGAGAATGAGTATATTTCTTTTCTTGCTCTAGTTAGATCAGTAAAGGCGTGTTCCCACCGGCGATGCGATCTAGTCGCGCGATAACTTTCATCGCAAAAGCGACCATCGCGGGCAAAAAGCGACTCGATTTGAGCAGTCGCTACTCGACCCGACTTTTTTGCGATGCGATCTAGTCGCGGAGCGGCTGAACCAATCAACGGCGTTCGGAGCAAGAGTTTTCGAGAAACGACTCGCCAACGGAGGCGTTGGACTCGCTCATCGCGCACGCCGGTGTGACCATCTAGCTTTTTTTGCGATGCGATCTAGTCGCATCGCGCGACTGCTTACATCGCCGGTGGGAATGCGCCTTAATGCGTGAGCCATAATTATGTGTGCCATGCTTGCCAGACATATATGGCTGGAGAAATTTGTTTTCTCTGGGACCTGTATTTACAGTGGACCATATAGCTGAAAAGCATACATTTGTTTTAGGGTCAGGTAAGTTTGAGATGAAAGGCAAGTGTAGAATGTAGAACATTATTTTATTTTTTTTACATTTTTACACCCTGGAGAGTGGGGAAACAGGAGGACAGAACAGCACGAATCTCCAAAATCTTAAGATTCATGTTGTCTCCAAGAATGTTTGGGTTGTCTATGTAAGGTTGTGTTTGGTGAAATGAACCTTAGGTTTGTTTGGAGATTTGTGTTGTCCTGTCCTTCTGTTTCCCCACTCCAGGGTTAAAAAAAGGGGGGGGGGGGGGGGGGGGGCAGTCAGTATCCAACCAGTTTGCCTGCATCCTTGCATTAAAATCCTTTTTTATTCCTTCAAAATTGCCTCTCATATGGAGGTAAATTCCACCCACAATCCAATTAAGTGGAACTGAGAGGGACCAAGAAACTTATTCTTAGCAGAAGTTCCCACATCTCGGAAGACGAAAAGACCACTTTGAAAACAGGAATCATAGAAAACAAAAATTGCTAAGAGATTCCACCATAACTTATAGAATGTCCCGAGCATTGATCGACATCTACTTTTGCAAAACTTGCATACAAAGAGGCACCTCGTACCTGTATTGCGTGAGAGGTACCGCTTCTCCCTCTCGCGTCTAACGCCGCACACTCGTACCTGCCTATCGCCGTGATCGGTTGCCAACCCTCGTTTCAATTGGACAGTACCGTCCGAGCCAGTGGCGTCTGCATGGGGAGGCCCGGTACACAGCCGCCACGTCGATGCACATCTGAAGGGAGCGGTGCACTGGAGGCGCCGCCAGACCGGACCCCCCTCACGGCCGCGATGCCAGGAGACTGGAAGGGCCGTCGTGACCACACGAGAAACTCGCCTTGGCACTCCTTGCCAGGGCGAGGTCCCCTTTTCCTTTCTAACTTTTCTTAGTTTCTTCTTTCTCTTAATTATTTCGGGGCAAGCTCCCCGACGTTGCCAACTAACGTCTCCCCAAAGCAAAGAAAGAGAGAGAGACTCACAAAAAAAAAAAGATCTATCCTGGAAGTTTTCTAGGTGATGGCACCCTAGAAAGTTTCTCGGAGGTGGTAGGTTTCCCCATGCATCTGCATCTAAGCTCACACCTCCCTCCAAACAAATAGAGAAAGAAAGACTCGCAAAAGAGGGTATCCTGGAAGATTTCTAGTAGCCGGCGCCATTTCTAAGGCTGCCAATCTCCAAAACCACAATTTATTTTCTCTCTCTCTCTCTCTCTCTCTCTCTAGGTGATGACAACCTGGAAAGTTTCTTCGAGGTAGTAGATCTCCCTATGCGTTTGCCCTAAACTGGAACTTTTCCCTGCAGCTAAGCATTTTCTCTACAACTTTTTCTACATATCACGAATTTGCTTGCACATTTTTCTTATGGATCGCATTTATTTCTCTTAGTGGTGATAACTTTTTTCACTTGTTTTAGCCATTTCGTATCAAATTAGGTAGACTCTTTGGAACACGCAATTTTTCTTTGCTAATCTCTGCAGGTTTCTGAAGTTTCTCTATGAATTAATTTTTTTTGTGCATGGATAATTTTTTAGGGTGTTTTCCATGATCCCTAGAATATTCTTGGGAACTAAGTCATTCACGGCCGTCGCATTTGACTGACGTCGTTTCCACAATCTAGTAGTTTGAAGAGTTGCGTTAGGCAGTCGGGGAGCTTGCGCCAACATGTGCCTTAGCAGCTCTGTTCCCCTTTCACAATCCCTTTTCTGACCTTTTTTTCTTTGTGTAAGAGTGTTTGTTTTGACATTTTGAGTGTGCTACAGTTTGAGGGCACAAATTTTTCCTGCTTTTATCCCCTCTTTATGTATGTTGCATCCGTAGCCGATAGTGATGACGCGGGCACCTTGATTTTTGTCTCTTGTTCCATGAGGTGGGTGCAGCTTTACTGGAAGGCGTGGCTTTGAAAAGCTCTTCGGTTGCACGACTGCTCGCGTCAATCAGCCGAGTTCCATGGCGTCACACCCGGTCCCCTGCTACACAGGAGTCCGGCCTTCTGGAACAATTTCCTCGTCAGTTTGCCCCCATCCAAACCTCGTCAATGTACCATTTCTCTCCGTCAAGTGCCTTGCAGAGAAACGTGTCCAAGAAGGATTGGGAAGGCACTCTCCACGCAGGGATGCACGTTCAATGTTGCCGAGCCAATTGGCCCGTCTGGCGTACCTGCAAATTTTGATTGGTGGGCTAGCTACCCTGCGTGCACCTATTGGTTTGCCGAATATCGAACTGGAAGGTGTCGACAGAGGCGCTGTGCAACGAGTTGACAATCGACCATGAGGCTTGAGACTAATATTTTGTGACACCTGCAGTATTTTTTTGACACCTTCGAATCTCCCTGAAGATCTCTGTTTTGGGGCTTTTTTTTTTTTTTTTCTTCACATTCCAGGCTGTTTGTGAACTTCTCAAAACTTGCTTCTCCCTGTTATGATCTGATTGGCCATCGGCATTAGCATTTATTTGAAAGCCGTTGGTTAGGCCTAGCCTTCAGCTAAACCTAACCATTGGTTAGGCTTAGGCTGCATTTAGGTTCCAACTATTGGTTAGGTGTAGCCGTTATTTAGGCCTAATGCCAGTTAGGCCTAACCACCTGCTATGGCTCCACCTAATTTTTATTATCTTTACTGCACTGCTTTTAATTTTATCTTGATTCTCAAGTTTTATTCTACATCCTACGTAGGCTATTATGTTTTTCTTCATGTTTAGTGCTAGCTAATTAAACGACACCACATCGCCTTTCCCGCTTTGGTACTCGTTGAACCAGTAACTTCTGAGAATGTGAGGCACTTGGAAAGTTATCTTTGGAGAATGGAACTTTTGGAAAGAAGCCTGGAAATGAATCTTCATTGAAAGCAAGCTTCAAATTTCTGTGCCCTTTGACCCGACAGTGGAAAGCAGGGCATTGCTTGAAACGAGGCTAAAGAACACCTGCTGGAGCCCGAGCCAAGTCCGCGTCTTTCGTGGTCCGTGTCCACAAGCTTTTCCCTCACGTTCGCAGCGTGAGCACCCTCTTCTCGTTCGGGTTTCCCTAACTACCGCAAACCATATACTACCTTCGATGTACATAAGCGTATATACATAGTTATAGTACATAGTTTATAAGTGCGTAACCCACGTTATGCCTGTGATGCTCATTTTTTTCCCTAACTTGTTTCCCAAATAATGTCGGCCGAGTTTTTATGAGTATTGAGGTTGCCAGTGTCCGGGTGCCACTGTATCATGTGCACGGGGGGAAAACCGCATCGAGTTAACGGGGGATCGGGAGCCAGTTTCCGGCTTGACCAATCGGCTGTGACTCCGACCACAACCGATGCTACGATCCGACGGAGCCGATCAGGCAGCTCCAAAAGCGGATTGTCCTGGCTTTCTTTGTCTTTGGGCATTTACCATCACCGGATAAACCAATCGGGAGCAGTGAAAGTGCCATGACCCTGCACTTTCAGTGCACGAGTGCCCCGACAGTGTTCTTTTGGCGCTGTTTAATTGGGTCGTGGCGTCGGCTGCGGTCAGACTTGCGTAAAACGGAGAATCGCGAAAAGAGTCTGATGTGGTCGCATTTTTTGTATGGCCAGGTCGGGCGGAGAACACGTCTCCATGAATTCTGTAAAATGTAGACGAAAAGTGAGCGTAAACGGGGGCTGCATTGGCTTCTTTGTACGAGTGTCTTTGAATTGTGCACACGACGCTTTTGCACCCCTTGAGTTCAGTTCTTCTACGAAAGGTGCATTGTTTGTCGGCCTTGCCCAAAGCTCGGCAGTGCTTTTCGATGTCGGAAGGACGAGGCTTGCTTCGTTCGGAGGTCGGCCTATTTTTGTACAGAAGTCCTTCGTCGCGAATGTTTGCCGAGAACTACGAGGCTCGCAAACATGGCCGAGAAAAGTTGGGAAATTCCTTTACAATCTCGATGAAAGACAGAATGGAGGAAAGTTTGTTTCCGAAGAGCTTCTGTAATTATCACGTTGCGGCGGTCACGAGCGCAAAGCACGTGAGGTGTGAAGGATTACAGTTTTCTTTTCTCGCAGGAACTTCGGGAGACAGTTGCCGTTGGTTTAGCAGAAATTTTATCGATGAATTTGCGAGTGCGAATTCTGTTTTAGCTTCTACGCATGCCAGGGCACATAAAAGCCTTAATGAACCCCTCTTTTATCCGGAGTTTTTTTTTAACCTTTGTTGTTGTTTTTTTTCTTTGCTAGGTTCTTTTATTTTCATATTTTTTTTAGGACTCTCATACTAGCAGTTGTAATTATAGCTTGGTAACTGCTCAAGTTTGGAGAAGTGCAAGCTGTACGGAAGCATATATTTGGATATAAAAATAAGTTTTGTCTTGGCTCAAACACGTACCTGTCCCATTGCACCAGCAGCAATTGTTCCGAGATATTTTGCGTGAAACTCGCTGGACAACCATTTTCTTTACAGATTAAGATTTTATGCAATGTAAGAATTTGTACTGCATATTTCCAAAGGCTTACGAGAGCTCTCTAAGCAAATAAAATTAATGCTCGACGTTTTGGACTCCTTGTGGTTGTGCTTGTTTGCTATGTGTGTGCATTTGTTTCTTTTTTTTTAGGATTTTTTTTTAGGATTTTTTTTTACGAGTGTTACCATCTTGAATGTTGTCACTTCCAGTATGGGCGAAAACATTGTTTAACCGTCGCCGTGCTGAGTAACAGAGGGGACGAGAGTGCGTGGGCGTCAGAACGCCGAACTCCGGTTGGAAAAATTAGTGTTAGATTTCGAAGTGAAGCACTATTCCAGATGACCAAAATTGTTGACTTGAAAGTGTCGGTGAGCTCTCGCCAAGCATTAAACGCCATTCGTAGGGTCCTCCCTGAGGACGACTTCCTTTACACCAATGAGGATGAACCTCCCGAGGGCCTCAAAGGCTCTGGCGTCGTCGGCGTCAAACATGTAATGTTTACAAAAAAGTGGAAAAGAAATTCTCTCCAAGCATGTTATTTTGCCTGTCGAGAGGCACACTCTTCCAGAGACTATCAAAGCAGGGTATAGTTTGCAGCGGCAGCCATATTTAAGGTAGCTTCCCATGTAAAAAGATGTAACGCAAAAAAAAAAAAAACAGGCCCATTTTTTTTTTATATAGCACTACTGAACTTCATGGTTTCGAATGTCGCTGATGTACTTATCATAAAAAGGGGATTTGAAAGTCTTGTTTTGTCTTTATACGAGTAAATGTTTAAATAATTGGGAATATGAGTTCGTCATGACTGACTGGTAAGTTACATGGAGACTAAGTACAACGCTCGCACGTGAACAGAGAAGTGTTTGAAAAGCGGGGCGTCTGATGTATACTGGGTAGATGAGAAATTCAGCCAGCGCAGTATGGCCATGCAAGCATCCGGGCCGCCGGGCTTTGGCTGCGCGTGCACCAAGTGTTATCAAAGGCAGAAAGCTGGCGGGCAACGTTGAGAAACCTGGGGGAAGCAATTTCAATTTAAAAGAGGGGGGGGGGGGGGGGGGGGGGGTCTGTTACAACAAAATTCATACAAAATAAAAAAAAATGATGACGAAATGTTAGGCTAGGTGGCGCAAGCTGCCGCCCGTTACAAAGGGTATAGCCATTACCATCCATCCATCCTCAGGAGGACTTAAAGCACTGCAGGAGCCCTAATCTGGACATTTGGCGAGAAGGTCGGCGAGAAATCTGGCGGCCGTGATTGGCCAACGCCGCACTTGACTTTGGCGCCGGCCAATCAGAGCCGCCAGATTTCTCGCCGACTTTTCCGCCAAGTGTCCAGGTTAGGGCCCCAGGAAGGGTAGGGTCTCAGTCACCACATCGAGCAGCGGTGGAAGGGACAAACAACCCCTCGTTCGAGGGCCGTAAAAGAGCGTGCCTATTCGCTCTAGTCGGCCTTGGGAATGGGGCTCCGGAGTCCGGGTCGCTGGAATTTTCGTAGTCTGTTCATTTGCTCACACCACCATTCCCACCATCGCGCTTCGGGAACCTTTATAAACACACATCTCATGTAGAAACATTACGCATACAACAAGCATCAGCTGAACATCGAGCGCATAAACATACACGGCACATACAAACAGTGGCGTAGCCAGGATTTTATTTGGGGGAAGGGGGTCCAATGGCATGAATCCCCCCCCCCCTCCTCCTCCTCCTCCTCCCCCCCCCCCCCCCCCCCCCTAATGACGAAGCAGGGTGAACTCGGCGGTACGGACGCAGAGATCGGCGAGGCTCTGTAGATAAAACGGGTAAAGTTGCATTGTCATTTTTTTTTAAAACGGAGCAAGCCTCAGTTACAAGATTACGGGCGTGGTGGCTCATCGTTCTACTGTCGTCGTAGTTGCGGCCCACCAACTTTAATAAAAGTTTCCTCACAGCACACAATTACCTCCGCTTTTTGAGGTAGCACTGCGTTACCAACACGTGAAGGCCAGGCAAAACGATGATAGCTATAGACCAGTGTCTGCTCAGTTCCATGGGTGCCGCCATGTTTGTTTATGCTGACGCAATGACACGGTAAAAAAAAGGGGGGGGGGGGGGGGGGGACGCGCTTTATACAAAACTTCGTGTTTCTTTTTTTAGAAACTTTCACAAATATTGCAGTACAAGAACGTCGGAAAGGCATAGTTACGAAGCCAAGAGTGCTGTAAAGAGCAAGAACCTTGTTTTATGCGCAGCCCTTCTTTTCACAAGAGCCTTCGCTTGAGATTACTATTTCACATTTTTTATCGCTGGGGGCTGAGATTTCTGACACTGTTCTATGAGCAACCTGCAATGCTGTTTGGTTTGGCGCTATCTAGCGATTGAAGCAAGAAAGATTGGGTATGCCTTGGAGTGGCAGCTGCATTGTTCAAACGTGAGGTATTACTCTGGTGGCGCTGCTAGTGTCTGCCTAGTGTCTGAAGTCGGAAATACTGGGTAGGCCAGGAAGCCGTGATTGCATAACGTGCAAGTACGGCGGAAGCTGCGGCCTGGCGGGCCATTCGGAACGTGACTATGCATCACCGGAGTGCGCTTTTACTGCGAAGAAGTCTCGGGCTTTGGTCGTACGTGTGTTTCGCGCTTTACACTCCAATATGTGTGCGTTGCGCTCGTATACGTAGCGGATATCGAAGCCGTCGGCACGCTATGGGGGGCTTATGGTTCACCCTTTGCCAAGTTTCACCGAGGCAGGGTATACCTTGGGCTTTCACTCTACTGGCGCCGCCTGGAGATTACCGGCAAGCTACCTGTCACAAAAAAATTAAACAGCAAAAAAAAAAAAAAAAAATTGACGCTGGAAATATAGAGCAACCGTCCTCGCACAAACTCTACACTTTGTCTCATCCTACAGGCTACGATGGACTAAAGGTCAAAGAAACAGGCCGCCAGGTCCAATCACGTTACACGTTAAGCTATGACATGCTTAACATTGATTAGGGGTGGACGAATAATGCACCGAATCAAAAAGTGCTGCATCATTTCTGTAGCTTCCACACTGCAAAAAGTCTTATGTTGTGGCCTTCTTTGCAATGTAAAATTGATGAGTCACTCAGTGCTATTCAATTCGACCCACTGTCCGCCCATCCACATTAGACGCGGGCACCGACACGTGCATTGAAGCCAAATACCAGACAATTTCTGAGTCGCTCGTGATGGGATCTGGTGGTCCGTAGCTTTTGCCTTTAGTCCATCGTAGGGTGAGACGAATAATAGGGGCCCATATATAGGGCGAGGGTAATTCTGAACAATCACACAACCAAAATCTATTATCAATTAAAGGTTTATCAAATTCGTGCTACAGAACAAGATGCCGAAGGAAAGAGAGTGTTATTTTTGCTAGGCCGCTTTATCTCGCAGTGTGGTCTAAAGGCAGCAGCGGCATATCCTCAGGGCGATGAGAAGTCACTGGTCGTTCCGTCAATCGGAGAGATGACATCAGACACCACACAGAAACACTCAAACCTGCACGGAACATCAGAAACTCCGAAAAACCTTTATATTCTCACTACGCATGGGCGCAAGGGTATTCAAGTTCGTTTCCACGTTCGTTGCCGAACGTGCAACGAAAAGATTAATCTAATAATGAATTGCATCGGATGCTACCTCGACATGCAAATCGGAAAGCAAGACGGAGTTCACCGCATCCGTAAGCGACCATCGAGACGGTCGTCTCGATGGAGGGAAATTTCACGAAGTGGTTGAAACTGCGCCAAAAACAGGGAAATTTTAGGCGTCCAATGAAAGAGGGAGAAGCATGAAACGCCCGTCACGTCTTCGTTACAGGACCGCCTTCTGTCTGCAGGCCCTATTCCCGAACGTCTATTGTATCAAGATCCTAACGACTCTGCGCGTAATAACGGCGTAAGCTGACCGCTCGTTCTCTTCACTAAGACGGTTGAAAACATACCTGAGAGCGTCCACTTTGAATGAGCGACTGTTCGGTCTACTGCTTTGAATGTTCACCGCAACATTGAAGTTCAAGCGGTGGATTTCCTGGATATTCTTGCCGTGAACGGAGGCGGCTGCATCTTAATATGTAGGCGCTTGGCATAAATGAAATGATCAAGAGAGACTAAATTGCTTCCTGAAATAAGATGTCACAGTTACTCTTTTATTCGCGGTAATTTATAGTCCAAAGTACGTATTTCGGATCAAGTACACAAGGTGTGCCTGAGCGCAGCGCCCCCCGTTGCTTTCGGTGCACTTGTTTTTACAATTAATTTAATTTTCCTTACATCACTGACATTGCTTTATATTATCACCATTTGTGCGTTTTATTATGTCCACTTTAGTTTGATTTAACTATGTATTTCAGTGAGGATAGTTTGTTATACTTTGCCTTGAAATCGCCATAATTCACCCTACAAATGTTTTGAAATATCCGTTCTCTATATATCTGAGATCAAGTACCGCATCCTATAAAATAAGCATGAATGAAGAAATATTGATTATTTTATTTATCTGAGCATGTTCTACCCCACAAACATTCCTCCTCCCCCTTTGCTCCGTGCCCCGTGCAAGGCCGACTGCGTGAGCAGGGTAGCGCGCGGGTCCAGCAGTGACTGGGGGGAAGGGGGGGGGGGGGGGGGGGGGGGGGTTTAACGCTTGATCGCTTGCGTCTGCTTTCGCGCATTTTCGAGGTTGGTCGGCAGCTGATAGCGATGGCTGTACCGAGGGGCTGCAGTTTGGGAGTTTTTGCTTACAAGGTGCGTTAACGTATCTCACAATGCTCACGTCAAGCTCGATATCATAAGAAGCTTGTTGTTTTTGCGAGTGACAGCACGCCGACATCAAATTTGCGGCTTCTTGTACAGCGCAGACGTAGCTTGCATCGCTGAGTTTATTCTCTTTGCGAAGTGTTGAGGAATGAAAGCTTTCCATGTTAGAAATCGGCTCGACTCCTTGCCGTAAGACAATCACAAGGAAGGAATTCATACCGGCGGCCTACGTTTTCACGCGGGGCAAATTGGAATGCGCAAGCTTGTACTACCCAATACCGACAAGCAAATCGTAGGGGGCGCTGCCAGACGGTTTTTCCGCACCTATGTTGCTGACACGCAGAAATACAGAACCACGTTAACTGCCGGGTGGCACTCGGCATCAGAAAACAGAGCCAAACTCAGCACTGAAGGCATCCAGGCACCCGGCAGCAAAACCTGCCTGTCTTGGACGCATGCAGTTTCCGCGATTTCCATAACGTCGTCAACGTCGACACATCCACTGTGGACTCATCGTTCTGCGTGGACCGCATGGTTCCGCGTGGGTTCCGCAATCCGGAGATGGCCCTCTTAGCCCAGTGTACGTAGCGCTGCTGGCACTGCTCCAGAACTTCGCTGTTTCTAGCGGCTTCGTTTGCTCGTTTGATAAAATTAGTGGTAAAACCGTGAATGCAACCGAAATGTTCTGCACGTTTGGACTGGGAGATGGAATTACAGGCGGCCTTCGCTGCCGCTGAAGCTCAATCAACTCAACAACTTTTATTGAACAACGCGTGCGACGTGCTCGACAAACGAAACCGAAAAAAAGATGAGTCGGCAGGGCGGACGCTTTCTCCCGTCTGCCTGGAGAAGGAGAAAAACGTATCGTTCCTCCCTTCTTCTCGTGTCCGCTTGGGGGCACGTCAGTAGAAGGGAGGAAAATGCGCCGTTGCACCCTTTTAGAGCGCAGCTCTTAGGGGCCCGTTCCCGGCTTGAGCGGCGTCGCCGTCGCCGTCGCCGTCGCCGTCGCCGTCGGCGTAACCGCGCGGTGCATTATGGGTAAATTTCCCCGCTAAATTTCCCCGTCAAATCTAGCGGAAACAATTTTCCCGCTAAATCTAGCGGAAAACTTTCCCCGCTAAATCTAGCGGAAAAAATTTCCCCGCTAAATCTAGCGGAAAAATTTCCCCGCTAAATCTAGCGGGAAAATTTCCCCGTCAAATCTAGCGGAAAAAATTTTCCCGCTAAATCTAGCGGAAAACTTTCCCCGCTAAATCCTAGCGGAAAAAATTTCCCCGCTAAATGTAGCGGAAAAAATTTCCCCGCTAAATCTAGCGGAAAACTTTCCCCGCTAAATCTAGCGGAAAAAATTTCCCCGCTAAATCTAGCGGGAAAATTTCCCCGCTAAATCTAGCGGAAAAAATTTCCCCGCTAAATCTAGCGGAAAAATTTCCCCGCTAAATCTAGCGGAAAACTTTCCCCGCTAAATCTAGCGGAAAAAATTTCCCCGCTAAATCTAGCGGAAAAATTTTGGTCACGTGACCCGGGGGTCACGTGACCTGGGGAGTCACGTGACCCCCTCCCGAGGTCACGTGACCTCTCACCCCCCCCCCCGAGAACACGTGGCCCTCAGTACCCTCCCCTCCTCCTCCTCAAGAGCTGCGCTCCAATTCGGCGTTACAGGGAGTGGTAAACGGCTTCCACTTTTTTCCTCTATTTTTTTTTTTAAGTGACTGCAGCTCCTGAGAAGGAGGAGGGGAGGGTATGCACCGCCTTCTCCTCCGTACCCTCCCCTCCTCCTTTCCTGCTCCTCTCCTGCCGCTAAATTTGCTAGTGGATGACGTGACACGAAGTCGCGACGTCATTTTCCCCGCTAAATTTTGCGGGGAAACGTAACTCGCTAAATTTAACGGAAAATTTTTCCCGTTAACTTTAGCGGGGAAACGCCCCATAATGCAACGCGCTTTTACGCCGACGCCGCTCAACCCGGAAACGGGCGCCTAAGAGCTGCGATCTAAAACACGATATCGGCCACATTTGTGTGATTTGAGTCGCGCCTAAAAGAAAAGCTTGCAAAGTAATTTCATTACTCGATACATCCATGAAGACAACACATCAAGTCGATTCTCTTTCTTATTTAACAGCAAGACCAGCAGATGCGGTCGTATACAGCTGCACCCATTTCTCTTTCCTGGCGTGCACATAGCAACAAACTGTGCAGCATAGCCGCTTACCTCAATAGATTATATTTTGGTAACCTTGGGCGATGTTTACAACACCAAAAAAGTAGAGAGGCAGGCTGCGTAGCAACGCGAGACCTTCACTTTAGCGAGCGAAAACGTGCGCCAGTCAAACGCACCATCACAGAACTCCGAGGCGCTCGCTCTGCGTGGCACATAAGCGACGTGGCAGCATACCTAATCATTCTGCTGACTCATATTTACACATCAATAAAAGATAAAGGTGCCAAAACATGAATCTTGCTTGAAGTGGCAACTGCAAACGCGGAAGTGCTTTGAAGGCAGACTTTACGAGCCGTCCGCACTGTTTCGCCGGATCGCCCGAATCCACAGCTTCGTCGGGTGCAGGTTAGTAGAAGGAAACCTAAAGAAACTTAAACCGCGACCACGATTGCTGTCCTTGCTGCAGCCGACAACGAAACAGCGTTGGGGCATGTCGGAGAACTTCGAAACGCGCGACCGCCACTGCTTCCCGCAATCCCGAGCCGGACGCACCGCGCCGCCAAAAATGGGGGACTCCTGTCGGCTGTTGCGGCGCATGCGCCGTGGAAACTCCGGTAAAGGCCCATTCTCACATGCACAGGAAATACAAATGCATGCACAAGTAATTACGCATGGGAGAGGGATCGCAGTTCTGTTGACTGCTCCGCCGCCTTTTGATGCTGCAGTGGACAAGTCAGAAACACCTTCGCAGGTGACCGCCTGCGCAATTACGAAGGAGTATGTTTCTTTGTTCTGCGTAAGGCGTACTAAAGGGTATTCTTTCTTTACTGCAGGGGACCAGACTCTTTTTAGGGGATAGCTTTAGGGCAGTGCGCAGGAGTCGCGTGGGTGGACTGCTAGTCAACGCCACTGGTGGCCAAAAAGGGCAACACTGGGACGGCCACCTTTCCACTTTAGCAGAGCGGACGCTGGAGAGGACGTCGCCTCCCCTTCGGCATCTGCTCCGTTTAAATGGAAAGAGGTGGGAGGAGCCATCACGATAACGTTTTATTACAAAATGTATAGTTGGCTCCACGGGGCAAGAAATGCTTGCCCAGTTGCACCGCGATTTGAAACTGAGCCGACGAAGCGCGCCCCTTGACGTGGATATCCGTTCACCCTTGCGTCACACTCCCGACAGCGTCGGCGATGCAAAGTAACACGAGTAGACACGACCTCGTATATCCCCACTTTATTACATACGAGTTCAAAAAAAAAAAAAAAAAAATCTAAGCTATGATCAGGTCGCAGAGAGAACACTGCAAATGCCTCGATAGATTCTGATTTACCACAGTCTCTTAATGAAAACGACTCCGGTCGATTCACCGCCAGCAGCGCGGAAGAGTTCGTTGACGACTCTGCGGAAAGGCTGTTCTGGTTGCACGAACGGAGAACTGTGGATGGGGCTGCAGAGCAACACGTCACAATAGCTGGCACATATCCATTCTTGCGCGCGTGACATTTGAGCACCCTAAGGTCACTTGAGGCATCTGGAGACACTTGCATATCACACTGGCTTTGGGACGTTGGGTCTGTGGGGGCGGCTGAGGGTAGGAGAGCTGCGTAGGCAAACATTGCCTCACTTCCGAGAGTGTAGAAAAAATAGGGATTGAACTTACAAAGTTCACCATTCTTCATCCGCACCCCTCTGCGCGGGTGTGAGAATTAATGTGAGAGAAAGATAAGGAGAAATAACCTGGCGAGACGCTTTGAAGAGAGAAGATTAAAATGGAGTATACGTCGGCGGAGTTACGCGTAGACAGAGACGTGCTGGAGACTTCTTTGGCCCTGTAGACGTTGTGTACACCTTTTCCTCTAACGCCAAAAAAACCTTTGATATAACGCGTAGTTTCTTATATATACATATATATATACACACACATTCTGGCTACATTACTGAAATTTAAGCGTCCTTCTTCATTTTCTTTGTCAATGTGCGACCATTCTGGTGTCAGCACCTTAAAGTGGGTCCCTGGACAACGGCGGGCCATTCACCGCTCGCTTAACTCCACGGGTCCTTTTCCTTGGCGAAGCGCACTTAGTCTGTGTCCGTGGCTAGAAATTAAGGAATAAACCACTGCGTTGGTATGGCGTCTTTGGCTTCATCACATGGCGGTATTGCTATTGCTCGTGCATCCTCATTTCATAAGGTCCATTCATTCCTCCTTTTGCGTTCACCCTCCCAAGTTTACCAAGTTCACAAGACTGAATGACTCGACGTTATCACATCTTATGTTTCGGAGCTGTTGGAATAAAGCCGTCCGGTCTTTGTAGCGCTGCAGCGCGCCATTGGCCGCATCCAAGAAAGTAAACCTTACCCACGCGCAAAGGCGTGTGCTTCGATCCACATGCCGGCGGTTCCCGCAGTGTGGGACGCTTCGACAGTGGAACGGATAAGATGGCCGCTTCAGTTGGCTTCTCAGAAATGGGGCAATTCCAGCGCCGAAAGCGAGCTCCGGAAGATGAGCCAAAAGTGAGATTGTATATGGCGGCTGGCAAGGCGTAATCGGCTGCAGGTTGCCTTCTGGAGAGCGCGGCGCTTTGGAACCGGTGCCTGGTGCCTTCGTTTGACACGGTCTGAGGGACGCCCTGTGGGTTTCCATGGCGACGAACGCCGGGCAGCTTCGTGTGTTCCGGTTCACACGTATAGTCACACGTTGCTGGGGCCGTTGGCGCGACCGTTTCCGATGGAGTCTGTGACCGTGTCGTCGCAGGACGCGTTGCTCGTCGTCGTCGTGGCGGTGGCGGTGGTGACGGTGACCCGGTGCTTGCTGCGTGCTTCGCAGTCCTGGGCGCACGGTATGAAGAAGAGCATGATGCCGCCGAGAGCAATCATGGCGCCCGAAATGAAGAAGCCCGGATCGTACGAACCGGTGTAGTCGTACAGCCAACCTGGGCAGAATAAATATTTGAGCTATAACGTGGGACAACGTGTGGAGTCTAAGGAGCCAAAGCATAACTGCTGTTCTACAGGTACAAAAATGGTGTATGGCAGTGTGCGTCAACTATAAAAAAAAAAAAAAAAAAAAAAAAAACTTAAACGAAGTTTTTCTTTTTTTTTTTGTTTTACGAGGGCGTTGGAAAGGGGTATTTTACTATTTGGTATAGGCTCAGTATCACAAATAATGCTCGCCTCACAGCCCGATCCGCAGCTCGCGCAGCTCGATCGAGCTGGGTGGGTGGCTTGAGCCTGCGCGGCCTTGGACTAGGGGACCCGATCACGAGGCTCAATGACACACACCCCATCTCAATAGAGTTTGTCCATTCCATTCCATGCCAGTTTTTTTTTTCTTTCTTATTGTACAGATGTATTTTCGGGCTATTCGTCGAATCTGATCGCCATTAATCATCTGTGATTTCCTCTTAAAGCCGAACAACAAGGTACCTAGGTAAAAGTATACGGCGAACCGGTGACACATACGTTTCGTGCACCTAAGGTACAAACCTAGATATTTATAAGTTTCGATAGCTGTAACTGAAACTTAGGTCTTTTTTTTTTAGTAAATTTTACGACCCTGAAAAGTGTTTACACCGCCTCACAGTGAGGTGCGTTTTATAGCACTTTGAACACGTTTCAGTACGATTTATGCGGTAAAAAACTAAAAAATGTCGCCATAAAAGTTTTTTTTTTTTTTTTTTTTTTTTGTCGAGCGTTGCGTTCCGGCTGCTTTAAGGGGCCGAAAAGCGGGGCTGTATACCTGTCATGGGAGGGCCGACGAGGCAGGCGACGCCCTCGAAGAGCAGCAGGAGCCCGAAGGCGTTGGTGAGTCTTTCCAGACCGAGGATGTCCACCAAGATCACCGAAGTTAGGCTCACAAAGGCACCTGTTGAGGGCGGATCGACAAGCGGCGCTGTTCAGTTTTAAAACTCAAGTTTGTTTCATTGTAGCACCACCAAAAAAAATTGTCATGCGTGCGCACTTCAGCAGAACGGGTAAGGATCAGTAATTGCGATATGTAGAAAGTTTGCCCACGGCATCCTAGTAAATCGTGCAGCCCCCGACAGTTTTTCTTTTTTAATTTTTTTTTTATCGCTAAAAATTGCAGAGATTCTTTGCGTTGTTGCGAGGATGGATAGAGCGCCTAGCGAAACCTAGTGGTCACGGTGGCAGTGGCATAGCCAGGTAGGGCTTATGAGGTTGAAGCCCTAGGCTAAGATTAGGGTTCCGTGTTTTCGGTACTTACCAATAAACCCCTGAAAATTAACCACCGGTTGGTTTTATCCGAATCGGGGAAGCCGAAAAACTCCATATTTAAACTGCCTTTGCAAAAAGAAAAAAAAAATTTCCTGCTTAGAAAGAAATTTGAAACTACAGCTAAATTGTTTTGTTGGCACGCAACAGAGCCAACACTAAACTGTGCTTGAAGTTCTCTCCTTCGGGAACTGCACCCCTTATCTCGTTTCCTTCGCTTACCGGCACCGGGTCGATTTACAAGTATTGGGGTAACACATGGCCAGGAAGTTGGGGTTCATACCTGTTTTCTTCAACACATGTTCGATAAACGCCCATTTTTCGCCCGACACCGAAAATGTACGCGTAAAAAGGAGCCTCTGGCAAAAAGATACACCCTGAAGAACTTACCCGAATTGAGATAAATTGAAACCCCGGAAACCCGGAACACTAGCTATAATATAATATACCTATGCTTGAAGCCCCTCCTCCAACCCCCGCTACCCAAGTCGTGGCCATCCCAGCCGGAAGGCTGAGGTGTCCATCCTACTTCCATCGACACCGCACCCCCCCCCCCCCCCCCCCCCTCACCTACCCTGAGTGGTGCCACTGCACGTGCGTTTGACGAGGATTACAAAGACGAGGGCATACCCGAGGTGGCCCCGAAGACGACGCAGTAGGAAGCCATGGACGCGGTGTCGCTGGCGGCGTAGCTGAAGGCAGTGGCCAGGCCGCACAGCGTCAGGTTGGCGTTGTAGAGCCAGAGCCGGTTCACGCACGACTTGTCGCTCAGGTAGCCGAGCAGGACGCGGCCCAGCGTGTTGGACAGGCCGATGCAGGAGAGCAGCAGGCTGGCCGTGTCTTCGGGCATGTGGAGGGCCTCCACGGCCCGGTCCTTGGTGTACACGTACGGCACGTTGAAGCCCACGCTCGTGAAGAAGTTGGACAGCGCGAAGAGCAGGAACACGGGCGACTTGAGCAAGTTGAAGTTGATCATCTCGCGCAGGGCAGCCTCCATCTCACTCGAGCAGAGGCACCTGCGCCGGAAAGGAGGGGGCACGTCATGTCTCTACACGGCGTGGATCGTGTGAATGCACCCATCGAACAATAAAGTATTCGCAACTTACGCGACCTATAGATCGCTTGCACTCGCTATGGTGGTGGTCATCCCCACTTGTTCTTGCCGAGAAAGACAAATTCGGCGGTGCAGTACGCATGTTGTGGAAGGTACGCTCTCAGCAGCAGTTAGGCCACAATGGCCGCTGATCAAATCGTCGTCTTTAAGTGGCGCGCTAAAGCTTATCAAAATGGCTGTCATCTGGATCGATGTAGAACAGCAGTGGAAGTTTAGGTATGTGACATGTGGGTCATTCTATTTCAATGAATGCGAGATATTTAGACCCTTACATCATCTTATCATACCTGGGAGGTGTAAGCAATCATCTGTATTGTGAAGTCGATTATCCACGACGAACTAGGGATCGCGATTCTCGCACTGCGATGCCACCATCGCTGAAAATTTCTATATGCCGCCCGTCCCATTCTCATTGTGACACATAAAAATATTACATAACACAAAACTTCTTTTGTAGCTTTCCAGTGAAGTCATTGGTTCTTTGTCTCACCTCTGTAAGCGTGTCCGCTCGTCTGAGGTTGGCACCGTGACGGACTTGACGGTCTTGAGCGACGCGACTGAGAGGGACATGTCCTTGGACAGGAGCGACGACGATCCCCGGTACTCCGGAGGCAGGTTCTGCAGGCTGCCGCTGTAGAAGATGTCCTTGCGCAGCAGGAGGCTCCTGGTCTGCTGGGACGACGGTGGCCCCGACACGGCCGTGGGACTCGGCGGGGTGGAGCCGGCGATGTGCACGCACGACAGCGATGTCTTTTCGTCTTCCAGCTGCGGCGGGGGAATCCGCCATTCACGGAGTGTCGGGCTGCTCTCTTCAAACCTCGCCCTCACAAAAAACACAACGATACGCACGTGCGCGAAGGGCTCTAGAAGCTATTCTGTAGTTGCGCGAACATTCGCGCAACAGCATACTCCCGTGAACAATCTAAGCTGCAGCAATACCCAATCCGACCTTTCTCTGCCTCTACGACCTCATACTTTCCATTATATCTCGATTGGTCAAAGTTCGAAGAATAGGATCTAAGTTTTGGCGTTCCGCCGTACAGTTAGGACCAAGGTTTTTGGCAGGCACGGTAAAGAACGGATGAAGGGTTGTTGCAGCTCATATTTACCGCGATTGTATACCTTCAGCCTTCGCAGTGCGCCATCAAAGACACTGACGGGATGAAAACGGCCAGGGGGGAGTCTCAGTTATCCCGCCTCCAGCGCGAGCTTCCGTGCCTTCGACAGCACTTCGGCGTTTCGTGAGCTTCGAGCGTGCACGCGCAGCCAGAGCACGGCCAAAGACAACGAGCGCGTGCTGTACCATAGCCTCCTCTACACTCACAAAGCCTGGCAGTTCGACGACGGAGCCACAGAGTTCCCGGTCGCAAATTTGGAGCGCGGGGATCTGATAGCACGGAGCATCAAAGAGCCATTTCTCGGAGAACCTGTAGGTCAGCGGCGCAAGAACCCGAAACACACTTGTTCGCTCGGGAGAAGGGTGTTTCGGCATCTCGCCTCAGCGGGGCGCCAGTCACGTGGCTCTCCTCTTATCCGTTGTCTGCCGCTCCACCTTTTCCATTTCGGCGGCCACTTCTCGTGGCGATTTGCCAGGCTTTTTCAGTATATAGGAGACTATGGCTGTACGCCTTGTCGTTCTCACCTTGTAAGCAAAATTGAGAAAGAGGAGGAAATGAAAGCGCGCGGGGACTTCAGGACACCGAGCTCTTATTGGAAAGGTAGACACAAAAGCCTAGATTTGTCTGCTCGCCGATCGAACGCCTGCGTTCGGCATTCGTGTTCGAACTGTGAGTGGAGACAAAGCTTTGGGTCACTATCCTTTCAATCAGAGATCGGCGATCTGATGTCCAAGCGGGCTATCATGTTCTCCCTCAGGAAGACATGATACCATGCAGACGCTCGAAGAGTCCATAAGCTCATCATGCCCCGCTGGCTGTTCGCAGACTGTTTGGCCCTCGGCATACACAGTGGCGCTAGTCGGATAGAGGCTCACCATGAGCAAGGGCAGCGCGGGTCCCGTGCGGCCCAGGAGGGCAGACCTGGGCCTCCGGTTCTTGCGGCTTCCGTAGTCGTCGGCAAAGCCGTTCTTCTGCAGGCTCAGGTCTTGGCACTCCGCGGAGTCGGCGATCGTCCCCGTGGACATGGACATCTCCCGAGATGCCGAGCACGTGTTCGGGCCGTTGATCTTCAGGCCGCCCCTGGACGAACCATGGAAGGTTCCATGAGCGTGTACGCGAGACAGGGCACTTCGCTTTTCTGGTTTTCATTTGTTTTATTTTTTCGTCGGGGTTTGGCGTGACAAGTTTGTTCTTTCCAACGTGTGTCGGAATGTTTTTCGTTGCGGAACATAAATTATGCGTCGCCCAACACTGAGGCTCCGCTCAAGTATAGCGCTATCGGTGCTGACCCCTGACCAGATACCAAAGTTTCCAAGCTAACTACCAAGTTATATATTATTTTCTGAACCTTTCGATGGGAAAATGGGGTCCGTTCTCAGGGGTTCGCGCCATTCGGCTCTATGTGTTCATAGGCTTTGTCGGCTACCAATTTCCCATTGAACATTTTTCAAACCACCGGATGGCGGCAAGCTCTGAAAAGGCATCTACTACGGACAGCTTTAGCGCTACGTTTGGGCAGAGACTGAGCGTACAACGATGCGCAAACTATTATTGCAATAAAAAATATACACACGGTATTTTTTTTTCGGAGACATTTAGTTAGCTTGTGCGCAGCCTTGGTGAAACTGGCATTATAAATAACGTGAACAAGAATATCAGCGGTTCATCAAAGCGAGCGAAAATGCACTAGTAGAGAATATTATTCTGTTATTCGTTTAGTATTATTTTTTAATTTTATTTTGGCTATACACTATTGCAGAAAGGCATCATTACTACAAATAACGTTTACTTAATTAAAGACGAGCATCGCGGCGCTAAATGGGTTTTTGCTTCTTTTTTTTAACTTTTTATTACTAATTTTACACGCCCTAAAGATCCCAAAAGAACAAAAAATCTACAATGTTTGCTGATTATTTTCCTATTAAAAGCAATCTTTGGTCACAATTCCAAGATCAGTTTGGGGGGGGGGGAGGGGGGGCATAGATCGTGCGTAGTTGTACGTTTAGATTTTTTTTTTTTTTAGGACGCTCGAAGCTTATAAGAATCACTACAGTATACACCTCTAAATAAAAGTTAGGGGAAAGAGAAAACAGCAGCATTACGGTGAATCCTTTTGTCCCCGTTATTTGATTACTTTCCTGCCGGTCCGTCAAATATAGATTTTTCTTTTCATTATTGCTATGTTTTCCCGTGAATGCCGCAATCCGCAGACCTCTAAGTGCATTGCAGGTTTAGAATAGCAGGGCAAACCCCCCGCAACGCAGCCCCTCTGCACGCCATGATTGATATGATTTCTTCCTCTCCGCTCGCCTCCTCCCGAACGTTTGCACTGCTCAAGGGGAAAGAGTGGACGATCTTGTGAAATCTGGTGAAAGGGGCTATACGTGGTATTCGCTGTGCGCCATACTTCAGTGCGGCGTTCGCAGCTCATGCTCAGAACAATACCCAACATCAGTGCCGTATCCAGGGGTGAGGCTTCCCCTCTTCGCTCCCCAATTCATGGACATCCTTGCCACCTCAACACACACACACACACATCACACCCCGAGAAAAATTCATACTTACGCCACTGCCCAACATATTTTTAGAAAGACCTTCAATATTGGTGGTGTTAATTGTGCTCGTTGCGGAAGCGTTGTGGAAGCCCATCGCAACCACGCACTCAGCAGCAACGAACTCAACTATGGCCACCAGGGAAAACAGTATTCACTGGCGGCCATGGCTGTGTGCGCGACTGCTGAGCGCGTGCTGATGGCTAGCTTCCAGTGTTCTTTTGCAACGTGGATTCCACACCGTCAAAGATGGCCGGTCTTAGCATTCTATTAATGCGGGCTCGTTCTGAGCATGCGCTCTAGACAGCACCCACAAATATGGCGTCCAGGGAATACTCCTTCTTCGCGGTGAGAAGTTCGGGTATCGCCGCCTGATGCTATTTTTTCACAACCGAGAGTGAGGATACTTCAACTTCCTCCGCTGGCGCAAACACGTGCAATGCCGTCTATGCACAATGAAAAATACAACATAACCGAGTGGGCAGCACGTGCACTACCCAAAGTGAGGAACAGAGAAGCGCCCTTAGCGAGCTTCGCACCGATACCACCTAAAAGACAAGGCCTGCGCCTACGTCCCTTTGACGTCATCACTCCCACGCAGCTCCGCCTAGCTTGCGTCAGCATCGCCGCCAGCGCGTCTCGCAGCGTCTCACAACGAGCGCGACGTTAGGAGGCGGCGTCGCCAATACGGACGCGTCTGCTGCGGCGGCTCTCGTCGAACTTCGGCGTGTTTGCCGCTTGGGGATCCACTAACCATGACGTCACGCGCAGGCCTTCTAGATGGTGCACTCACATCTCCGGAAAGGCGTTGCCGTTGATCTCCCTCTTCTGGTAGGGCGGCGGCGGCGGCGGCTGGGGCGGCTTGGGCGGCGGCAGTGGCCTCAGCAGGGCCCCGAAGACGCAGCAGTTGAGCACCAGGCCGGCCGTGCTGAGCAGCGCCCCCTGCCAGCCGTACACGTGCACCAGCCACTCGACGAGCGGCGCCAGGGCGAAGGTGCCGAAGCCAGAGCCGCACACCGCGATGCCCGTGGCGAAGGCGCGCCGCTTCTCGAAGTACATGGTCACCGACACGATGGCCGGAAGGTACATCAGCCCGAAGCCGGCCCCTGCAATCCAAGAGAGGTTTTACGTGCCAAACCAACGAAAAGCATCTGGCACGCTCCAGCGGAGGACTACTTTCGACCACCCCATGGGGACGAGTGCAGTGGAGGCAAAGGCAGGTAGCTTTAGGTCTACCCACTATGGTCATTCCGACCAGAGCCTCTGACGTCCCCTCCTTGTCTCCTCCTCCCCATCGCTTTCTCGGCGGATAACTCCCGTTAGTGGCGATTTGTGAACCGGCGCAACTGCGATCTTCCGCACAAATCGCACCCCGCAGCTGCTGTGCTGACCGCTGTTTTCCTTGAGTTTCATGGTAAGGAATGTCGTCAGGAGCCTCATGTCAACGAATCCGACGGGGCGTCGTAATCACTCGGTAAATCAGTCGTCAGTCAGTCCGTTTGTCGGTCGGTGGCAGTGGAAGTACACGCAAATCACGCCGTGTCACTTAATGGAGCACGGAAAACCACCGCTTTTAGCTAAATTAAAATCAAATGACAACACTAATTTGTATGTAATTGCTTCAACAAGACGCAAGAAGCCGTTTCAAGCTGGAAAATAACTGTTCTAATTTTATTTGCATATTTAAATAAGGTTTTAGGTGGTACGTTTCCGAAATTCATTTTCAGCCCACAATTATCCAGTTTTGGTGAACGGGCGTTTCAATGCAGCAAGCATAACAATATGCGTTCTCCTCGCAAGTTGTCATGGTAACTACATGAAACACTGGCCGCACGAGCTGGCGCGCCGCAAGGTACTTTTATACAGGTTGCATCCACGGTATTATCCACGTGGTATAAAAATATCTCATACAAGCTGTAAGGAATAGCCATGGATTCACTAGAAAACCGGCCCAGGAGCGGTTCCAATTTCCAGGACATCTCTTCGAGCTTGGCCCGCACGACAGGAGGGTGGCCCCTTCTTCGTAAGTGAGGCTGCGTAGCGCTGCGAGCGGACTTCAGAACTACCACCACCAAGAGCTTCTTTACGGATGCGAAATGGGTTCGTCCCAGGAATATACAGGAAGCGCCGCCTGTGCGTCCTACTTTCAGCGCTTGTCCGTGTCCTCCCATTCGTCTCTGTTTGCGCTGTACAAGTTTCCTAAGCATCACGCCCCAAACCATCCCAACAACGAGTCTTGCTAACCTCTCCGTACAGAACACTCTCAGTAGCTCCTTTGTGTACGGTGGCCCCTGGTGCCCTCGTAATACCATTCATTGATATTTCTTTAATCAGTACAACCAGTGAGGAGGCCACTTTCACTGAACATGCTGTCACGGTAGCAGAAGGGTAGACGCCATGTTGCCACTGAAACTGCGTAGTCATTCCATCATGATATCGATAGCACCTCTCAATGGTTGGCTTTCCGAGTGAATTGTGGGGGTTTCCTGGTAAATTTTGGTGTGATCAGTTGGTGAAAACAGGAGGCGATCCATTCTCCTGGGAGTCCTGAGCTCAGAAGCCGTTGAGTTTGGGTGTTGATGCTTTCGGTTGTTGAATGCGGACATAATTTAATTTTTGCCGAGGTGAGTAGGACCTTGATCACCCCCAGTTTAACCGACTTGGAGTGGGCACTTTTAAACGGAAGAACCGGCTTTTTTTATCGCTGTTGGAAAGTCCAGCAAACACATTGTGTCGTCTTGGTCAGTGGCACTGGGTCGTCCCTATTGAACCTGAGGTTACCTGCTTGGTGGAAAGAAGGGGAATCAGCCTGCACTTTTATAGTTTTAGGGTGGACGGTGAGATAGTCGTCTACTTAGCGGAAGACTTCCCACTGGGGGGCTGTACTTTTTAGGTTTGCCTCGACGGCCCGGTCTGTGTAAGACAAATAGATTTCACTTAGTACTGGTGCAAGGCACAACTCTATGCAAATACCAAATGTTTAAAACCAGTTATTTCCTTCGTGTTCAATCATCGTAGGTTTAGGCATAGCTGAAGAAATTTAAGGATTCCTGCAGGCGGTACTCCGGAGGAGTTTTGGAAATCGCATTGTCCGTGTTCAGTGATTGCCTCTTCAACACAGTTTAGGGGAAAGGGGATGTCCAGGTTATAATACATGTCTTCTATGTCCACTAAAAGAAAGCTATTTCAGGTGCAAAAGCATGATTGAGAAGGGATGGCACTTATGAGCACTTGCGAATTTCGGATGGTAAAGGGCTTGGAAGGGAGAATATGGAGTGAGGTGTCTTTGAAGAAAAAGAGCCAAGTGTTTTTGCCAGCACCCTCTCTCGGAAACGATAGTGCGGAAGGGGATATTCGGTTTGTGAGTTTTGGCGGAGCAGAGCACTTCCAGGTAGTGCTTAGCTGGAGCTCACAGCTGCTGGAGCTGCTACGGAAGTCCTGATATTCGCAAGGTTTGACTCAATGCACGGGTCTTTTAGCTTGGTGCGGAATTATCTGGATGGGCTCTTCTTCAGAACGCTAAAATTCTTGTCAACGGCAGCGTTGGCCTTTATCTTTAGTCTTTTGACATATGTCTTTTACGATATTTAACGAATCTAAGAACACACAGTTACAACACATGACACCCGAAACAATGAGCCTTGGAAAATATACAACTGCAGAACAACGTACGGCTTAGAAATGCTACAAAACAAACTGCCAATCGAAAGCAAGAAGCGTGCTCAAATAAGCCAAATCATGTTTTGTTACTGTTTTTTTTTTAACCTGTTTGCGACTCTAGTTGTATTTCCCTTTCGATCTAAATGAATTGACCTACTTTTGAAAGTGTGCGGTTCTTTTCGCCTAGAAACGTTTGGCGGAGCGGCAAACGTCGTCACAATTACGTGTCCCCTATCTTTTTCACCCTTCCATTCCCACGGATGCCGATAATTAAATCAGAACCCCAGACACGGCTTGGTTGTGTGCGCGTGGAAGGAGGAAGGCGAGCGTAGGAAAAAGAAGGAGAGGAAGCTAGTAGAAAGGAACGTCAGTCCGCCGCATCGATTGCAATTGACGCGCGAAGCGACCGAGCGCACGTATGCATATTTCAAGACTTGTCTTTTATTATATAGTTGCAGGCAGCTGCCAGATACTTTCTTTTGATCCAAATGACAGCGGAAGCGAGGCAGTGCGAAGAGCCTAGCAAGGCTGGACGGTTCGACCTTCGGTGATATTGGTACGAAAATTATACAACCCGACTGAACTTCGGGCACGGGAGACAATTCTTGTCAGATACAGCATGTTATTAGGGTCAAAAAGGCGTCCGGGATTGCTCTTGGAGACGCCTAATCTTCTGCAATTGAAATCATTGTGATTGCAGCGCTGCCGCCGAGCCATTAATGTTGGTTATTAGCTGAAAGAGCTCCTTGAATTTGTTTAATAGCTCAGCTATTATGTGACCTCACGAATTCTGTCCAATTTTCTCTTCTTTTTCTTCTTTCTTCTTCTTCTTCTTCTTGTTATTATTATTATTATTATTAAACCTGTCTCTACTGGGACTTGTTCTCTAATCGATTGTCTCATCAGAAAGAGACGAAGGGGGTGTGCGGAATAGGGTAGAGCTGGGAAAATCGGGAACGTCCGCGCTTAGATCAAGGAGGTTAGAAGTACTATACTCTGTTTCATACTTAGCGTGCAACGCTGTCAAAGCTACTGGCGCGAGCGCGTGGCTTCATCTATTGTATTGTTTGCGCGAGAACGCGTGCAAATGATCAACGAGATCAAGCCCCACGCTCGCGCCAGTGACTTTGACAGCGTTGCACGCTAAGTATGAAACAGAGTATTGGCGACGTGCGCGATCGAAAGCGTCGCTGTGGTCGGCCTTCCGCGATTGGCCGAATGCTGACTATGACGTCAGCAAAGGATGTCTCATCGGCAGAAATAAGAGGAATGGAAGAACTTCAATTTCGACGGTGTTGGTAGTGTTGCTTTAAGAGCGCAATGATTTCAAGCTTCCACCATGCTCCTTACAAACACCATCGAACTTGTTGTTCGCAAGGTAATGACGTCACGAAAGGTAACCATAGGAGGGCGCCACTAAAACATCTCGCCGCTAATAGGAGGGGGCACGTTGCAATATTGATGAAGCCTAGTCATAAAACGTTTAAACGATACTGTGCCCAATGTGACCGCAGATCTCTTTGGCGATTGGTGCGCGTGACATGTCACGTGCGAGGTGGATGGTTGACTGTAGAAGGATTCCTTGCAGGATTGCGCGCGCTCCGTCTGGTAGGTTTTATCAGATCGAAGGCTAGACGAAGGCTAGCTGCGGTCACGTGATATGGTCACGTTGCGCTGATAAGTGAGGAGAGTAAGGAGGAAAATTAGAAAGAGGCGAGGCGTCAAGGGAGCATGGTGGGCTACGCGGCTGACGTCAACATTTTAATTTCGAGCCAATACGGAACATTCACTAAAACCATAAAATTGTAATTTATATATATATATATATATATATATATATGTTTTATTAGGCAATGAAAAGCAATCGCGTCACCTGTTCGAAAATCACGTGACTCAAAAACGTCCCCATAATAGATGCGTCGGAAAAGCTTATCCAGAGAGAAGTGAAGTAGAGATACAAAGAGTGAGTATCGCGTGTCTAATTGGTGATCGAGCCCCGTGCTCACCCGTGCACAGTCCGATGGTGAAGAAGAGGTAGGTGACGTTTGGCGCCGGCACACTGATCACCAGGCCCGCCGTGGCGAGCAAAGAGCCCGCTATGGTCACGGACCGACAGCCGTACTTGGTCGTGAGTCCGCTCGCGACTGGACCTGCGTGCATTTAAGAACGACACGTGGTAACATTCCACACTCTCTACGCAGTTATAATCACTGAGAGCCGCATAAATTTGACACTGTCCTGCCTTCGGAACGAGCCAGCAAAAATCTATATACACAACTCGAAACAGCAAGCGGAGACAAGCGGGCGGCTGGGTATATTTTGAAGCAGAACGTCTCTACGGGCCGGTTTCCAAGTTTAGGGCGTCACGGGAAGTTGTTACGAAAGCGTGATAATAAGGGGTTTTCACGACAAACCGCTAAATTTAGTTAACGCAGTTCACCCCTATGGGCCACGTGACCGCGTGACGTGACGTCGTGCTGCTTCGTGACGTTACGTAATGTGACGCTGTTCCACGTAACGCTACGGTGTCACGATCTCTCTGCCCGCCCGCAGCACCAACGTAGGTGGTCAAATTTGGGGGTTCGTTCGTTGTGTCTCTTGCAGCTGCACGCGTTGTGACAAGATTTGGACTTGCGCTGGAGGCGGGACAAATCATCAATCGATCAATTAAGCAATCGATTCATCGATCAATGTACTAATCAATTAATGGTTTATTTTATCAAAAAAGGCGGTAGCAGGGGCAAAGGGCTGCAGCAAGCGCACCTCCATGATAAGCTTAGTGCGAGTGCCTACACGCGGTACTTGGCGCATTACGTCTGCCATTCCAGCTTGAGGATGTTACGTGTTATATTTTTGCTGCCGCATCGCAGAGGCCGTTTTAGAATAAACAAATACTGGCTTGGGCCCCGTCCTTCGCTAAGTTCGTTCAGTTGTTGAACTTGTTGAAGGTCATACTTGCTCAAAGTGCTAGTAATATATGTTTAGATATACTATAATCGAGACGATGTTGTTTTTCTTTTAATTTAGATTAAGGTGCCTGTATAATTAGCAAATAGAAAGGTATAATTAGTTAAAGTTATTAATGGAAAGTTAAAACTTAAAACGTGATAAGGTATACGTCCGTAATAGAACCCATTTGAAGTGCGGTAGCCCCTGCACAAGCAAACAAACAGTAACATAAAAATGATGGGCCATTCCACTCTGGGAAGGTGGATGACCACGACACAGACGTGACGCTTGTGCGGTGAAGACACGGCATTGTGACGTCACGAAGCCGTGTGACGTCATTTCTGTTGCGGCACACGAAAAATCCCCGGTACCATAGCCATAAACAGCTTGGATGTAAAATCTGTAAGCATTAAAACAAAATATACTCTGCGATTCTCTGTTATTTAAGCGTACGACTACTTTGCATTTGAATACCAGAAAAACAACACCTCTTCAAGGGGAAACCAGCCATTTGAGATGTGACCCTTGAAAATTTTGCCAAGCTCCCCCTCGTGAGATAATATATATAAATATAATTGTTCGTTAATATTACTTCTAAAAAGGGTTTGTACACTTTATCGCAGAGGCAACTTAAGAACACTTTACTACATTCGACCATGTCATAGCTTGTTAAAATGCTTCGCAGCGGTAACTTACGTACGGTTTATTAGATTTAACCCGACTAATAGGAAAATCCTTTTAACGATGAAGCGTATGCAAAGGGGAAAAAAAAAGGAAGTGGGAGGGGGAGCTCGTAAAAAGAAACCATAAGAAGTGAATGCTTTTTGAATTGTTTGTAACGAGGCAAGGTCACGGCTTCCTGCCGTGTTCACAAAGCGGTCCTGGGTGCGCGCTAAAGACCAACCTTGTAACGAAAGTGCCGGGGAAATGAACGAGTCGCTAAAAGCGGCCTTTCAAAATACCGAGGCCGCCCGATTGCAAACATATCGCTCAAAAAAAAAAAAAAAAAAAAGGGAAAAAGAACACTGCGCGTTTTTATTGCGTGGGCCGCTACCCTGTGGCTGTCTTCTTCAAAGACGTGTCCACATGCCCGCGAGAAAGAAGACTCTTCCCCCAAATCAAAAACGTAAAAAAAAAAAAAAAAAAAAAAGCAGAAATTTATTGATTACAATACCGGAGCCCTATCGTCGGACGGTTTATCTAACTGGGCCAGGTAGAACGCGGGAACTCAGCCCGAACGAGCTAACAGATCAGGAAACCATTACTCGGAGAAAAGGATGTGTAAGGGCGCAGACCACACGTAGAAAAGGAAAAATAGAGCCGCTAGAAAACAACGGACAAGTAAACAAAGGGAACAGGCCTTATGTACTTGTTCTTCGTCTTTTCGTGTCGTTTATGTGTTCATTTCCGGACCTATTCTGCCATCCAACCCGAGTTTCTACCGCATATTATCCACACGTTGGGGGACATTATGGTTTTGGCGCATGCGCCGCCATTGGGAGTAACTTGGAACTAAATTCGAAGAGGCTTTTGGCTACCTGCTGTAGGGCTGCATGAATTCCTTAAAAAGGACGTTTATAAAACGTATTGACGTAGTTTTTGTGAATTTCGCTTCGATCTATATGAGAAATGATTTTGTTCTTCAAGCTAATGACCCTATAAAAATCGCTTCCACGTAATAGTGATTCTATTTTAGGTACCCGCCAATGGCAGGCTTTCCGTACATGGGTGGGACGACCGCGACGAGCGACCGAATCGTTAGACCCACCTGAATCCGCCTTTTTTTTTTTTTTTATCGTTAATCGAAATCCGGGGAAACGGTCGCTCTTTGTGCACAGGTCAAGATCGAACAGACTCCAACATAGCGAACAACACTTCGGACAGCCGAGTGCGGTTCAACGCCGAGAATTATGGCTTCGATCCTACGTCGTATAAAAGGAAAAAGAGTCCATCTGTCGTTCTGTTCCATAAAGCGCACCTGACCTAAAAGCGATGAAGAATGGCTGCGTCCAGAGTGGCATCATCGATCTTATGTTTTCTTTGTTCGTATGTTTACCTAAGCGTACGCAAATCATTAGGACTACGAGAACAAAAAAGTGACGGTTCTTGTCGATGAGTGCGCTGTATGCAGACGTATACAATGGCCTCGTGATGACAAATTCGGTGGGACAACGGCTCACAAGCATGAGCCCGGGTTGAACTCCGCCCACGTAAGCGCGATACATTTTTATTTTTATTTTACCCGCCTTTTGTCAGAATAAACTTTGTCCCACGCACCTATGACAGACGCTAACAAAAGGAAAGAACAGCCACTATCATGTCGATTCTCCGGCGGAGCTTATTTTCCTCGAGGCTTTTATAAGGCTTTGGCTGAATTGGGCATGTAGCCTCTGGTTCGATAAAAGGATCACTCGGAGTTTCTAACAGAGCTTTTCGGAAAGGTCTTTCGTACTCTCTTGTAGACGACTTCTCTCGTAGAAAGAGGACATCCATCGTAATGTGGCTTTGGTCGGACACACCCTGGTCGATATAGTGCGCCGGACAATGTGGTGAATGTCGGTGTTGAAGGTTGATTAACGCTCCTTGGTGGGCTTTTTCTTAAGATTGTCGTATCTAGTATCTTTGATGCGATGGCCGACGCTACTAAATGCGACTCTATGGTCACCGACAGCGTAAGTGTTGTGATAACACTTCACAGCGCACAGAAAAAACACACTATACAAATACAGACACAGCGCACAAAAAATACATTTTTGTGCGCTGTGAAGTGTTAGCATGATTCACCAACTCGCCCCAGCTGAAGTATCGACCAAGTGTCGTGAATATTATTATTGCTTCGCAGTCGATAAAACCGCGGCATCAGCCGATAAGAACACTGAAGAACGAATTGCGAAGCAGGAAACGTGATAAGCCGCACCCTGCTTTCCTCATACTGTCAATGGTGAGTTTTAGTATTGAACGAGCACAGGCACTGTGCGTTTGCGTTAGCGTTGCGTGTTCCACACTGCGCGTGCGCGGAGCCCAAACTGCGGTCTTGAATTGGCGCATGGCGACGACGCGCATGGGCTGCGGGGAGCACGCCACTCTAACGGAAACGCACAGAGCTTGCGTTTGTACATACGCAATACTAAAACTCTCTAATGACTATAGTCGCCTATGGCTAAGAAACGCAGAGCGCGGCGAGTCTTGGCCGCCTTACCATCACTTCGCAGCAAATCAGATTGTGGTATGAGCTAATAAGAAAGCTTCAGAACGAAATGGCGAAATAAGGTGCGTGAACCCAATAAATACTCCTGCCCTACGTCTCTTCAACTGTCGGTGACATCACGCCACTACGGTGGCGCTGCTGTAGGCCCAAACGCGTCATCCCGACTGTGAGAAATGAAAGACTCACCGATGCAGAAGGTTGTGCCCACCATGATGGAGGCGATCCAGGCGGTCTTGCCCTTGCTCTCCTGGAAGTACTTGAGGAACTCCAGGTAAAAGATGCCGAACGTGTACGTCACGCCGTCGGCGATCACGTGGATCATGAAGGACGACAGTACCACGACCCAGCCCCAGCCGCCGTCAGGAGGCTGCGCCAGGGCCGCCGCCCCGCTGGGAGGCGTCGTCGACGTCATGGTCGCGCTCCGAGGCCTCTTCTCGGGTCCCATGCCGGTCTTCCTCCCTGGCCTTTCTTTCCTAACTTGTTTTTGTTTCTTATTGTGGAATACTGTAGTCAGACCTAGTGGCTGATTGTCCTTGGGTGGGCTAGTCTCTCGTAAAGCGTTCTTCTTTTCTAGATCCTGGTGATGCTTCTGCTTGTCCTAACGATGCCTGGAAGAGAACGAATGAGATGGTAGAAATAAAAACACGGTATTTTTTTTTTCAAGGACGCGTAAGGGTAAATTGAGCCCGATCACAGGGAGTTACAAAGAGCCCGGTCTTGTTTTTGTTTCAACTTTCAATCATCTCGTTTTCTGTGCTCTTAGAAATCAAGTAAGACCCCCTGAAACAGCCGCCACTGAGCAGCGCAAACACTGGCCGGCGGCGCCCAAGGGATACCAAAGGCACCGCCCCCCGGCCCTTGGAGGGGGGGGGAGAGTCTGGTTTGCCCCCCCCCCCCCCCCCCCCCCACACACACACACTTAAAAACAAGTTGGTACGCCACTGACCATCCGTGTTTATTTTCAGTAAATTACGTGACGTAATTCAGAGCCCTCAATATTGCTCTAAACAAATTTTCGCGTAAAATTGATTTCTTGACGCGCGTGTCCCAACTAAACTGTTAAAAAAACAAAAAAAACAAAAAAAAGACATTTTTTTTTCTTTTCAGTGGTCTTTTATGTTTTAGTACAATTTTATTGGCTACAATCGGCGCTGCCTGTATATTTCCCTAGAATCTTGAAAAAATTGCATACGAAGTACTTTCATTCGACTCAAATTAGAAATTGAGAATACGCCGCCAAAATTTCGAATTCAGAATAAGATTCAGATTTATTAATTTTTCGACAACTTCGATAAAAACGACCGAAATTCGTTTATACCCGTGTCCACAGTTGCTCAAGTCGGGTCCAATCACAAAATAAATTTTACAATGCGTCACACATGTAAAAACTGCAACAAAGAAAATGGCTAGAATCCCCATCGAAATCTCATCACTCGTCTTTAGTCATTTGAGACCGTCTATGTTTCAGTCTCCCGTTAAGCGCCGTTTACACATATGCGACCGAGTACGACCGAGAGAGACCAGACCGGTTTTTAAGCCTTTTGCGACTTCTTAGGACCGGATGCGCTGCAGCGCATCCGGTCCTAAGGCGTCAGAAAGAGGCTTAAAAACCGGTCTGGTCTCTCTCGGTCTTACTGGGTCGCATATGTGTGAACAGCGCTTTACATTTTATATCTAATTTTGTGTTTTCGGTGTTTGTTTTTTTTTTCTTCCAAATTCCGGGTTTTTTTTTCTTTTGGGAGGTCTGTGTTTTTTCCCCCACTAATTCGATGTGTTGTTGTGTAAATTGGTTATAATTTAACCAATTAACACGAAAACACCGAACCTGTAAAACAAATACCCCCCCCCCCCCAAAAAAAAATAAAAATAAAAAAACATCCTTTTAATTTGAAAAAAAAAAAAAAAAAAGACGGAAAACTCGGAACATTAATAGACCGATCTCACTAAGTGTTCCGCTCATTTTCGACGCCGCCATGACTGTAGTTCATAGGAGGCTGGAGCCAGTGCACGAGACAGTCCGTGCTGCCTCGTGCTCTGCTCGCACAGACTCTCAGCGTGATTCTCGCAGGCGCAGAAAGACTACAGATCCCACGATGGATGACGGCAGCGGTTACGTAATGAAACAGGCTGCGAGGTCGCTCTATTCTATCTAATTACCACAACACAGCCCCATCGTCGCTGCGGTGAAAATTAGCCTAAATTTAATTACGCTCGACGTTAACCCGTTTTTGTAGCTTTATAAACTGTACCGCTCTCACCACGGATATACAAGTTGATATGTGCATATTCCCGCACCATCATCTCGTCGATTTGACGACTGCTGCAATTTTAAGTGTACTTCTGGTTCCAGTAATTCATTTAACAAATCATTACTACCCCTCATTAATGGGGTTCGGAGAAATCTCCAGGACCTGGCAACCATTAGTGACCCTGCATTTTTTTAAATTTTATTATACTTATTTTTTATTTTTCCATTCGCATAATTAAATTTTTTTTAATTGTTCCTTTTTTTTTTTTTTACTTTTTTGCTACGCAAATTAAGCATATTTCCAGAACTCCCAGGCTCAGATGCTCCCGATATGCTATTTAGTATCTCTTAATTAAAAATAACGATTAAGAAAACAGGAAGAAAAAGAAGGAGGAGGAGGAGGAATAAACGTCTTTATTTGCCTGCAGAGCTAAGTCAAGCCTAGCCGGTGCGGCCCACACCATCCGACGCCCCAGCGCAGGGGGGCCGAGGTCGGACCTGCCTGCGCAGTAGACGCCGGGCCTGGTTAAATGACAAAGTCAACGTTCGAATTGTCCCGCGCTCTCCAGTGACGTGACGTCACATTTATCATAAATTGCGAGTCGAGCAGGCAGTCAAAAAAACGCCGTTTTAAAATCGCTCGCTTTCTTCTCTGACCCTCTTGTTGGCGTTACTTTTCCTACATTCATCCCACACCACCAAAATTGTTGGGACCCGTGGGTGCCGTGGGCTTGCTCCCATATTACGTTTATTACAACGTTGCATGGATGCCAACGGCTGTACTCTTTATAAGGGGCGGTAGCTTGCGCCACCTAGCCTATAAACTAAAAACCAAGAGTGTGCTTTCTCCCCTCGCCCTTCTCAGTCCCCTTTCCAGCGCTATGTCGTTTTTCGTTGCACCCTTCTCATATGTAGTCCCCCCCCTTAATGTGCACAGGACACTAAAAGATAACAACACACCAGGGGCCCTAAACTCGTCGAACACTAAGTTGGAGCCCAAAGTTCGCGGAGCGCGCCGATTGGACGCCGCCGAAAAAAGCGCCAAGTCATCGTCGGGATCGTCCAATCGGTGCGTCCCGTGAACTTCGGCCCAAACTTTGTGTTCGACGAGTTTAGCACCCCTGTCGGGGTTCTATTCAGGTACGTGAGTAGAAGAGAGCAAAGCCATTACCACCTAGAAGACAAAGCCTACCCCCCCCCCCCCCCCCAAAAAAAAAAGAAAAAAAAAAAAGAAAAAAAAAATAATTATCGTGTTTTTTTTATTTTTTTTTATTTTTTTTTTTTTATGATGTATAAACAGGTTTAATCTTCGTGCCATCGAAGCGCAAATGCGTTCCAAGTTCATCTGTGCGACCTCACTGCGACGAGGCAACTTGTAACACATTTTGGGATACCACTGCATTTACCACGATAGCGCGGGCGGGAAAAGTGCGATTTATTCGCTCGAGGGGCGCGGGGATGGGAGGCAGGGGGGGGGAGGGGGAAGGTGACGCAAGGCGATTTAGGGGCGCGGGCGATCAGCTGCGGCTGGCACGCTCGCGTAAACAGCTGCTTGGAGCCCCGCCAGACCCCCGACTGCTGGTCAGACTGCCGGGCGAACCGCGACCGCGTGCGTCAGAACCCCGCGACGAACCCTTCCAAGAAGGAAGCTTGTCAGTGACGCAACCGGCGTCCTACGGAACCCCCTCTGGGTAACCACGAATCAACTCTTGGAGTGGTTGGGCCGAAAGAGCATGTCATCCGCACTGATGTCGCTTGCCTTTCGGGTGAAGCGAAACCACTGTTGCTGCGATCTCTAGCTGCACGAGGATCGTCTTATCGCCAGTTTGATCTCCTGCGCCCTTGCGTTTGTTAACCCGTGTTGTTTGTATGCCCTAGAAATAGATGATACTTGCGCATCTGCGCATGCGCGGCGTGAATGATGTTCCGCGTGACGGACAGTGAGCGTGATCTTACTCTCGCTCACTATTCTTGGGCATGTTGAGTTTTCTAGCTAAATTATTTCTTGCATCGCCGTTCGCTGAACGGGCCTTGTAGATCGCGTTGATTGATAGACCGCTTGCTCCTCGAGAGAGTGGACGGACGGACTTTTACAGCGGAGCTGTTAAGGGATAGTTTCCCTAGGATCGTGTCCGCCACCAAACAAATGACGACACAGAACTCTGGACAGCTACCGCCATCTATAAGCGACGGTGGCGACGAGACAACCGGCTTGCCGGTTGTCTGGTTGCCGCCGTCGCTCATAGATGTCGGCAACCTCTCCAGCCTTTCCACTCTGGCTTGCCGACTTGCGGCCGGCCATTACTTCATTCCCACCAGAGTGCAGCTTCGCTGGTCTTCACCAGAGTGGAAAGGCTGAAAGTTTTTTTCGTGCGTGAGTGCGATAGTAATAGAGAACGCAGCAACGTCCACCAGATGGCATACGGCGTGCAAAAGCAAGAACATTGTACCGTGCGGACTTCGAAATAGCAGAAGACAAGTCCCTCGACTCCAGATCCGCTACAACGCAACGCGTCTGTTTCTTTTTTCTCTCTCTCTCTCTCTCTCTCTCTTGCAACAGGAGCAGCGCAACACTGTGCTATTCCTCGAGAGGGAAATTCACTGGCGTTCCACCGAACGGGCCCGTGTTGAAAGCGATAGCATGTCGCCGTTGTTGCGCGAAGGCTACTTGGAAGGGTGAGACCGACGTCCGCCACGAACTGGAGGTTATGTTGCCACAGGGATTTCACCTCGCGAAAACAAGCAGCGGAGGCAGTCAGCGTGGCGAAAGACACGAGGGATACATTTACGCTAAACGGCTTGTGCATATAGTTACCCAAACGTCGTCCTCTTCTATACATTTATAATAGTAGCGCTGGATGGTATCCCAGTCCTTTACTGCAGCATCAAAGCTCCAATTTCTCTTTCTTTCGAAAACGACTTTCACTTTATTCCATTGAATCTACCTCACAGGCATCAAGCGATTCATTACGTGAGACAGGAAGCAAGGAAGTGAGAAAGTCACGATATACCAACGAGCATAATAATGTTAACAAGCATTATAACGAGTCAAGTCTCGACACTAGAAACACGACATTAATTATTAAAAAAATATCGGTCAGGACCAACTATGTTGTATAATATAATTGAAAGAGCAGCGGCCGGTAACGTGTCAATTTTACCGCTAAATTTAGCGGGTAAACTGAATTGGTGTTGAGGCACGTGACATCAGGTCATGCAACGTAATATTTTCCGCTAGATTTAGCTGGGAAACTGAATTGGCGTTGGGATCATGTGACGTCAAGTCTCCCGCTAAATTTAGCGGGGAAACTGAATTTGTGTATCGGTCACGTTACATGAAGTCATGTGACGTCATTTTTC